TGGCAGTCTGTCTGACTGTCATGTTATTGTAGCAAAGTTAATTAAGTTAATATTGCTGCAAAGAAATTAGAATATGCAAGTACTGCAAGCAAACAAGAACTTAGCTACGAAGTGAAACAGTGGCTCAAAGTCTGGTATAAAGGGATTTTTATACAGGAGGAAAACCCTTGCTTGTCGATATTTGGTACCACAATTTTTTCTACTATACAAACGGAATACTGTGATCATAAAGTTTACTATTCCGTCAGGCATTTTACTATATTCAGAATAGCGGGAATTTCGACCCCTGTATGAACAAGCATGATGTCATGCTTGAATTAAACTATGGCCCTCCGGCACCAGCTTGAAAACAGGACAAGCATTCCTCATACCTTTTTTTCCAACACTTTTTGGCGAACCTCTTGCCAGTCTTGGGGTCAAAATCATTCCATCATAATAGCACCTATATGATAAAAACAGAACCAACAAACCATGCTGAATGATACTGATTTAATGAATTATTAATATTTGTGATATCAACATAAGTCAGTTCCAAAAGTATAATACTGTGATTTTGACAAAATGGGAAACTACAGTTTTATACAGTTTTAAAAATTGCTAATATATGATATTAGAATTCATAGAAACCTTTTAAATATTTACTTTTTTTGTTTTCCTTTGTAGCTTATAGTTTTGCCAAATAGTTTGGACACCTCTATAAGAAGTTCCCTGGTGCCAATCCCTTTCAGAGAGCCATATGTATACAGGCGCTGTAACAACAGGTCAACACTTAGCAAATGACCTTCCTTTTTAACGATGTTAGCATGCAATATGTCTTTGAGAGTTCCTTGAAAATGAATGCGTGAAGGTCGAACTACAGAGAAATATATATATTTTTATAAGACAACGGCCAATGCAACTGTGCAAGCAAAACAAATATTTTAAAATATTTTCTACTGCTAATAATAAAACCTATTACTACTCGCCTTTTCGTTTAGTCCCTTTTGGTGTTGTGATCGTAGTTCTCAAGTCACTTTTCCCACTATAAACTGGGCGTTCAGCATGAAGAGATGATTCAAACCGATCAAACGTTGAAGTTGAGGCCTTTCTTGTCTCCGTAGCTTTCAGCGCATCCAAATCCTTCTTCAAACTCCGACACCTGTGCCTGCTCTTTTTCAATCAGTTCCTTCTGCAATCTCACATGCCTTAAAACGCTTCTATAATTTTTACTCAAAACAGGAATCTTCGAATTCAACGGCTTGTATCGTTTATCCGCCATCTTGCCGTGACAAATTGCCTATCGCCACCCTACTAAGGACATCTATTTCTGCGCGAGAAGAGATGCGCAGACCGAAAAATATTCGTTCAGATATGGCAGGCAACTCCCCCTCTTTATCCCTCAGAGAGTTGCCTGCGGAGGAGGCTAAAATGAAGATAAAAATTCAACATCTGAATTCAAATATAGTATCAAATATTTTACTTAATTTGCTTTTTATCTAGATTAAGTTTGCTAGTGTTTTGCAATTTACTGCACGTGAAAGGAAATCAAGATATTTCGGAAGTTAGTGGATATAGATTTAAATGTCTTGTGTTACTAAGTCGATAAACAGTTCATATTGTGCAAAATGTTGTCCCGAACTCTTCAAAGCTATATGTTCCCCCCAAGTATGTTGAATTTTGTGAAAAGTCGTGTTGCTAAGATGCATAGTATTGTGGAAAAGGTAATAAATAAAAATATTTGTAACTTTTGTTGAATGTTAATATGTTTGCTTTTAATATCTGGTCATGGTGTCAATGGTTAAGCCGGGTGCACACGAGGAGATTTTAATCGGTCGATTTTTTGTCGAATGACTTAAGCGTTAAGATATGTTTACACGTTACGATTTATCGGCTACGATTCATATTTTGTCGCATAAAAATTAGTGCTCACCCCACAGATTATCTTCAAACTGTTTATGGCAAAATATGAATTACAATCAATTGTGCATGTGCTTTCTCAATTGGCCTACACGCACCAACAATGCGAATCGTGCCCGAAAAATTGTAGTGTTTATGTGTGTGGCATAACAAACCTTTATGTGTGTGGCATAAAGTTTAAGCGATTTTAGTCTGCCAATTGAAATTGGGCAATATCAAACTGTTTCGATATTACATCGGCATGTAAACCGATTAAAATCAGCCGACAAAAATCGTGTGGTATGTGCCGAGATTAAAACACCTTAGGCAGTGTTAAGTGTGCTCATGGCCTATAGAAAGGGAGATGGCTGTGAAACTCATGCATTAGAATAACAATATTTAACAATTAGACAACGAAGCCGAGTTGTCTATGAGCGAATAGTCAACGAGGCGCAGCCGAGTTGACTATCCGTTCAGAGACAACAAGGCTGAGTTGTCTAATTGTTTTAGTATAAACCACATGAACAAAACGAAATTTCTCACTTGATTTTTATGTAAAATAATGTTTTAACGAAATGTGCGTTCAAATGGCTTCCTGTGGCGACATTTGACATTTCGCATCGGCTTTGTTACTACAAAACTACTCAGTGTTGCGAACTCCCAAGAATGACTTGAAAAATACAACTTGTGAGTTTTAAAAAAGTTAAAAAACATGTCGTAAAACAGTACAGGGTGTATAAAAAAAATCTGAACCCTTTCATATTAGCTATAACGTATTGTAGTAATTTGACAGCTCTAATTGCTTTGAATTAATGGTTGGGTGAGAACACAAGGCCTTGTACTCATGGGACAAAACTCCTAAAAACTTTTAAATTTTCTAATTTTTATTTCTTTGAGTTTTGTCCCATGAGTACAAAGACCTTGTGTTCTTACCCAATATTAATTCAAAGCAATTAGAGCTGTCAAATTGCTACAATACGTTATAGCTAATTTGAATTTGAAAGGGTTCACTTTTTTCTATAAACACTGTATTATTAATAGTAAGAGACTGTTAAAGAGGCAAAGTTTGGTTAATCAAAACTTATTAAAAAGAAGGTAACAAGGCTTAAAATTTCGAACACAAAAATGCTTCCCGAATTGTTACTAAATTAGTAAATAAAGTTTACTTTAAAAACCGGAATAAAAATGCACACATGCATGCACATGCAAAAGAATCCGATTATCCGAATGTCGTTGACATCTTTAAAATATCTGGAGCATAAAGAGGCAAACCATTTCCATAATCTAGTATACATACACAATAGTTTAGATTAAAATTTAATCGAAAAACTCGACTTAAAAAGACGCTCGAAAAGGCGAAAAAAACCTTTTTAAAGTGACAGCTAAACACATGAACTCGTACTTAATAACACATGAACTCGTACTTAAAACAGGCACACACTAAAGAGGTTGAGGAAATAGGAGTAAATAGCCACAAAGTATTGTTGAATTTCAACAATTCTGCTTGGAATATCATAGGTCTCCCGAAAAGGTCTTTTATTTAAAAAAAGTCCATGCAATTTACTTTAAAATGCAATGCATGCTTTGACATGCAGTGCTTCAATGTACAGTAAAACCTCTATAATTCGTATGACATGGAGTACGTGTAACATCACAATAGCGTTGCGTTATTATGTAATATACACGCTTAAAAATTGAGAAAATCATTATGTTGACAATATTGTTCATAGTGATTAGTGGGCCACACAACCTTGTTCACGCCTGTCGATATAATCAACTTGGAACAAGGTTGTGTGGCCCACTAATCACTATGAACAATATTGTCAACATTTTGTTACAGCAGGCCCGTAGCTGAGGGGGGGCCTGGGGGGCATTGCCCCCCCACTCGGTGGGGCAGTGCCCCCCAGTGCCCCCCCCCACTCGGAAATAAAATCGAAATTATGCCCCCCCCCTTTACGTTTTGCAGAACTAATAGCTGTTAGTGTAATTTTTTTGGGCTAAGTACCGAAATTCGGTATGAAAAATTGAAATAAAGGACCTGGAAACCAATTGCAATCATGGGACAAATTCTGTAAATTTTGTGGTTAAGTGATGTTTCGAAAATTTTTGTTAGGTTTCGGGCTTGTGTTACAGCATTGTTCAACTGTAACAACTTGGAACAACATGGTTGACAACTTGTTCATAGTTGGCCGCACAACATTGTTCATGCCTGTCGATATCAACTTGCAACAACCTGTGCGTTTTTAGCCGTATATATCCCCAAGGTTGGCAAGAAAATACAAATTTAAAACTATATACAAAAACTTAATGACGAAAAAACTTGTACATAAACATCGAAATTCATTAAAAAAACTAACTCACTATGTTAAGAAATAACTTTAATACTTCTACATTTTTTTGTTCTCTCATCACTTTAAAACGAGTTTATTTTGCGAAAATTCATCAATTTCACGACTATGCGGGATGATGGCTCCCAGCATTATGTCATAAAATAAAGCTCTCCGATTTGCTAAAAAATTTTAAAATTTAAAAAAAACTCTGATTGGCTGGCTAAAATTTCCCAGCGAATCACGGAGCTTTATTTTGTGATGTAACGCTGGAAGCCATCATCCCGCATAGTTTTGATGAATTTTCCTTGGAATTTTCACTATCGCTAATAGCCTACTAGTAGCGTAGCCAATCAGAACGCACGATACGTGATAGCCTACTAGTAGGTTTATACTAAAACTTGTAGTCTGTGTTAGTCAACTTTTATTCATAAATATGGTCTTTCACCGTCACATGTGTATTGTATTTTTGCCAAATCCACCAGTAGCAATTTCCAATTCAGGCTCTATATTGTTCGAGTCACAGATACTAGGTAACTTTCCTAGTAAAACATTGCTGTTGGTTAGTTGGGCAAAAACACAATACACACGTGACGGTGAGGGACCATATTTATGAATAAACGTTGACCAACATAGATAATGATTACGGGAACCACTCAGTATTTAAAAAAAATACAACTAAATAACAGTAACTCCGAATAACATTTTGATTTTTAATCAACGTTTCGACTAGTTTGTTGTCATACAAACTAGTCGAAACGTCGATTAAAAATCAAAATGTTATTCGGACTTACTGTTATTTTGTATAAATAATGAGTTACATTGTTATTCAAATGAGTTTCACAGCTATCTCCCCTTCGATGGCCTAGAACTAGCTATGGCGTACTGGAGGCATACAATTTTAATTTATTAATATTATAATTATAACAGTCATTGTATCACCAATATTGCTTGACAATAGTGTATGGTGCAAGAGGTTTTAGAGAATATACTATAACTTAACACTGCATGTGAAGTAAAAAGTAAAAATATTAATATTTTAGGTAATGGTACCTCCACATCCGAGAGTTGCGCCTACATACAAGCAAGTGAATGACTCTGAAATGATAAAGTTAGATTTACTCCTGTTTCTTCCTTTGGAAAGATCGGTAAGATATTTACTAAGCAAAGATAAAACCAACCCAAGCTTTGTTTGCAAACTACTTTTCACTGCATTGCATTTTTTAAGGATTCTTCAGTGGTGGGGAAAAACTGCCAAAGGGCCCATTTTCCTTGCCATCACCACAGAATAGTATGCGAGCACCCAAGTTGTGAGCTGAGTGCCACAAGCAAGAGTAAGTTAGGGGAGTCTAGGGGCATGCCCCCAGGTATGCTTTCCTGTGACACCGGTCAGAAACAAAATAATTTTTCTATTTGATTTCATGATTTTAGTAACAACTCACACTATGAGCATAAAACGATAAATTTCAATGGTACTATTTAAAACATGAGCAGCAGTGTTTTATCAGATATGAAGATACGAGGCGAAGCCGAGTAAAACACACACTGCAAATGTTTTAAATTGCTTCAAAAACGATCGATCTAGTACGTTCATTGGCGAAGTAATTTTCAACAAGTACGTTGTATAAGTTGAGAAAATCAAAGTTAAAGTTTATGTAAATCAAGGGAAATTTCTATCACATATAAAGATATGACATGCTTTATATGATTTTTCTTTGTGTTTTCGTTATCAATTATTAATGAGTTTTTGAAACTTATTTACTGGATCAATACAGGTCCTAGGGCCCTGGGTTTGGGGCAATAGGCCATTTTTTTGCATTCACTTGTGAGGCACTAGGAAGGGCCCAGTGGTGGCAAATGCCTGACCAGTCCATGGTATTAAAAAATGCCTTGTACTCTTGTGCAAAACTATTCTTCATGTATAGACTTCCAATCACTATTGCAACATTTATAGTCATTGTTAATTGTTGCAACATTTTTACTAATTGCTAATTGGTAAAGATGTCAGTAAAAATATAATAGCATAAATTTTATACGATCTGTCTTTTTAGGTTAAACTCCAATGGATTATTGAACAGCTAGAGATGGCTGTTGAAGAATTGGATGCTCCTGATGTCAATTTACTTGAACAAAAGAGGAAGGTAGATGATGCTGAATGCCCAGAACTTGTGGTAGAAGAAGATGCTAACGATTCAAATACAGAAAATGATGCAGAAGTTGATGATAACGATGATTATGATTATGATGATGAAGAGGATGACAATGAAAAAAAGGAAGATGATGATGATGCTGATTATGACGATGATTCTAATGCTAATAAAGATAGTGATGGTGATGATAATGAAGAAAGGCAAACTAATGGGAAATGGGTATGTAGACAAGAAAATCCAGATGAAAACCTATTATTTTACATTTTATGTACTTTTTTGCACGGCCAAAAATCTTTTCAATCTATGTACATGCATTAGTAGTCATAACGACATGATTTGAAAATTTGCTCAAAAGACAGTGACTGAAGTTGTGTATCACTATCAATCTTTTTAGGCAAAATCAAAACGGAACTGTCCTCTGTGTGGGCAAGCGAAATCGAACATGATGAGCCATCTACAAAGGGTACACAAACAGAACCACACGGATGCCCTTAATTTGTCGCAGAGTATCCGAAGGACTAAGCAAAATAGTAAAACAGTTTTGGATCAAGTTCCATGTCCGATCGAATCTTGCCAAAAACCAGTGAAACGACTTGACAAGCATCTTAAAATGGTGCATAAACTTAAACCTGGATCACCAAGTTTTATTCGGTAAGTTTGAACATATTTCGTTACAGAATACTGTAATCTTGTGCAAATTAATTTGGTTGAGGGCAGACCGGCAGAATATATACTGCTTATTATATATAGTGTGGTTTCAAAATTTCAAGTATTTTTATTACTGATGTTCAAAATGAAGTCTTCCAACAATATTGCTACAATACATTTCTTGAAGTTAGTCAATTAATTTGTGCATGATCTTTGAATAATGTGTTTCCTTATATACTGATCCGTCGTTTCTTGAGATGATAAATTAGCTCATTTTCATTGAACAGAAAATCTATTAATTTTTTAAATACATTAATTAATAATCTTGACAAAATAGATTTTAGCGATATTTTGGGAACACTTCAACAGGAATTACGGAATTACCTGTATTAACGTGATGACTATATGATGATTGAAGTTTAGTATTGAAAACTCTTGTGCTCAGTTGCAATTTTGTTTGTACGCAAGTTCAAGTTTTTCATTTCAGTTGGTTCTATAAGTTCAGAACTATAGATTCTTATTGTATATGGCTATGTTTAATAAGTAAATTAAGGCTATATACGGTCATTGTCAAACGTCAATTTGTGGCTTACAACTTCAGATAAACAGCAGTGGGCCTACATTACCTTCTTTCCTAAATATTTTCATATAAGCATAATTGGTACTTATTTAAGTATACTATCACAGTTTTTGTGTAAAATAGTTAATATTTTGTGACCGAAATAGTAATTTGGAATGTACTGTACCTATGTCCTGGAAATGGATGTATTTGACCAATTTTGCCACTCTAATCACAGGTGGCCCAGGCTCTGTGTGGGTATTTATTTATTTTTTAACTTTTTTATATTTTCATGACTTACTCTGTTTACTGTGTCATTTACTTCACTTTCGTCGATTTTTAGGCAATTTCGTTAAACCCAGCCTATGTTGTATGTCATCTAATATTAACCACTATCAATAACGCAAAGGCAGGTAGCTGTGACCCCGGGCGGAATTGGACCTAAATTTCAACAAAACCGGCCGCCGATAAAATATTGCCAAACGCTTCTAAAGCCGCGGCTATACATATTTATGTTTATTCAATCTTTCCAACTTGTAAAATCCTTTCCCTGGCTTTTCCTTGAAGAATTAAAACAACTTAATGTAAACTAGGGTACTTTCTCCGAACTCGCGAGTCCATCTGCTCTGGAACCAAACCGTTAAGTTAAAATTTGAATTATAACAGGAGGTTTGAGGAGAAATATTTTAACAACAGGTGCTGTTACAAAATTCGAAAAATTCAAATTTTAATGGTTTGGTTCCAGAGCTAGAAGATCTACTCCTGAGTTCGAAGAAAGTACTTTAGTTTACATTAAGTGTTTTTTAATTCTTCAAGGAAAAGCGAGGGAAAGAATTTTATAAGTTGCAAAGATTGAATAAACATAGCATGTATAGCCGCGACATCAGAAACATTTGGCAATATTTTATCGGCGAGTTTTGTTGAAATTTAGGTCTTGCCCAATTTCGCCCGGTGTCAGAGCTTCCTACCTTGCGTTATTGATAGTGGTTAATATTAGATGACATACAATACAGGACGGGTTCAACGAAATGGCCTGACAATCGTTGAAAGTGAAGTAAATGACGGAGTGATAATATACTTAATACAAAACAGTGATAATATACTTAAATAAGTACCAATTATGTTCCTATAAAAATATTTAGGAAAAACCGTAATGTACAATAGATCCACTGCTGTTTATCTGAAGTTGTAAACCACAAATTGACATTTGAACACGAGTATTGCATGGTCATTTTCTTGTGAAATATCAGTGCTATAGGCATTTTACACTTACAAATGCTGACCCCTAAAAACACCATCTCTGAACCATATAAACACCTCAGAATAGCCAAAGCTTTTATGGTTTGGTAGATAGTACTATGGCGAAAGCATCGGTCAGTTTAGGATGTTTCGCCCCTGATTGGGGTTCGGGCGGCGTTACCATGTTGAGTGTCATGGACAACTTACCCTAAAATAGTGGAGATTATCTGTGCTAAATGAAATGCACACAAACTCATATGCAGGTCCTATACTAATTGGTATAGCGAAAGCATCAGTTTTGGGCGTGGTCAGTTTAGGACGTTTCGCCCCTGATTGGGGTTCGGGCGGCGTTACCATGTTGACTGTCATGGACAACTTACCCTAAAATAGTTGAGATTATCTGTGCTAAATAAAATGCACACAAACTCATATGCAGGTCCTATACTAATAGGTAAGGTTAATTTGGTAACCGATTGATTGGCAGTACCCTACCACTGACGAGTAAAATGTCTGGTTATATTGGTTTAAAATGGCTTAAAATGAAAACGTATTATGAAATCCACGGTACTTCGGGGAATTTAAAAAAATTCCTTTATTTGAAAAGTTCTGAATCTTTTGATATATTTTAATTTAGTTATAAGAAAGAATGTTCGAAATTGAGAAAGAATATCCAGGAAGGATGCAATGAGGAAAAGAAGAAAGAAAACCTGCCAAAAACACAAAAATCAAAACGGAAGTTAATACTGGACGATGTACCTTTGAATGTTCCCTCGACCAGTCAACATCCATCCAAAAGTACTTCCAGTGATCATCCCCCAATGCACTGCTCGTCTGAAGATTCGTCACAGTCTGATGAGGTCCCAAGACTTGAGATCTTAGCGGAAACAGGGCCTTTGGAAGAGCCAGCTATGCCAAAAGAAATCGAGAGGAGCGCCATTGCAGACGTCATTGAAACCCAGCCACTACTTGCTCGATTTTTGGATCATCTTTTGTCGGTCGAAGGAGGACGACGCGGGTCAAAACCATCAAAAGAGATGAAGTGGCGAGTAGGTCGACTTTTGTACGAGGTTGATGAAACAGTAACCAACACTACACTATTGTGGAACGACAACGCGATGGTACACCTACGCCGTACCTTTATTGAAGGCAATCACCTATTAGCAAAGCCAAAGAGAGTGGGTACCATAAGAGCGTATCTTACTTCTTTGCTAATGTTTTATAACTTCTTGTTAACAAGAGCGACAAGTTTGGCAAACGAGTTCGGTCTGCAGGAAAATGATTTTAATCTAGTAAAAGAATTTCGAGGAAGAGTTTCAAATTGGATGAAGTCGTTTACTGAAGAGTCAGCTACCAGGAAAACAGAAGTTCATAGTCAAGATTTCCAATCCCTTTTGACAAGCACCCAAATTTGGAACTTGTTGAATTCGTCTATTCACGAAGAGTTTGAGGAACGATTTAAAAATCTGGATGATGATCCTGGGAAAGATTTTGTTGATCTTCGCGATTACCTGGTTACAATGGTCCTTTTACAAAGCGCACAGCGTCCTGGGGCTATTTCCAATTTCACTGTGAATGAATTCCAAGCTGGGGAGTGGGATGAGAGCACAGAAGTAAAACAGTATATCACATTAACTAAACGTCATAAAACGGCAGGTACATTTTGCAATAGTAAATTTGTTTGCATTTTTGCATCCGCGTTTGAAAATTAACGGCTGCGAAGGACAAGCATTGTTTGACATCACGCTTTAAAACAGAAATATTAAAAAAAATTATATACAGATACAATAAGAAATTTATTGTCTCAACCTATGGCTATTTTAGCTTAAATAATGAATCCAATCACCGCACCAAGATACGTTTACGACAGTAAAGCCAGAGTTGCAGTAAGTTGCAATAGATACACATTTCTGCTATTTACTTATAAACCTCAATTCATATATAAGTAAATAATCGTTCTGTAAAGCCTTTTCAAGAGTATTTTCTTTGTGTTATATTATAAAAATCGCTGCTTGAAAATGCACATGAAGTTTACTTTGGTTGTAAGGTTTTATTACAGTAATCAGTCAAATATTTGGTACAAAATGTTTTAAGGTTACAGACGTAAAGTAAAATGTTACTGATTTTATATTACAATAGAATTTTATCACAATATTTTTCAGGTTCTGGACCAGCAAGCCTGTCCTGGGATGCTTGCACGTACAAATGTGCCCAGATTTACCTGCAAAAACTAAGACCAACTGTGGCAAATGAACATTCGATTCTGCAGCGACATGAACAGCACGAAAAAGAACCACTTTTCTTTTTAACAACAAGAGGAAATCCTCTTCCGTCTTCGCAGATTTGTGGTAGAATGACGAAAATAACCAAAATGCTGGACCCATCGATTACTGGTAGTGTGACTGGAAAGCGCATTCGTAAGTCAGCAGTGTCCCGCCATCGACAGCTTGTGGACTCTGGTGAATCAAGCGGCCTTTCAAAAGATGAACTTGCACGCATGTCGCATTCCATATCAACAGCAGAAGGACACTACGCCATGAGGGATACAATTAAAGGTACAATATTTACACCTAAAACTAAGATTTGTTTCAGAATTTCCATATATAGCTACAGTACTTACACTTTTTCATCCATATGTAGTCAAGCATTTTCACAGAAGCGGATGGTAAAATGTTGAAAAATTACACAAATTTAAATGCTGTTGTTACGAGAAGCTGTTGGTAATTGTATAGATAATATGATGGTTTCGAGTGCAATTTGAATAAAACATGCACGTTAACATTTTATCAAAGTTTCTCAAAGAACGAGTGCTATTTGAGCTCTTTCAAAAACTCACGATTGCATGTTTTATCCAAATTTCACGGAAACCATCCTATTATGGAATAATAATATACATCAGACAATTGTAGTTTTAACTGCTTATGCTTATAGCGAACTGTCCACTGACAAAGTTTTCCTGATTTGTTTAATCATATTATACGCAACGCTAACAGCTTGAAAATTTCACTCAAATGAGTAAATTTTGCTAGTCTTGTTTAATTATTAAGATAAAGTCTTTGCCATTAGATGAATAAGTTCCATATTTTCAACGCAAACTCCACTCCTACTTATTTGACATGGCGACTGCTTTAATCTGATTGGTTGATTTAAAATCCCATTGGGTCATTCCAGAAAACATCCATACCACCCCCACGGAGGAAATAGGAAGTTAACCCCCCTATCCCCTTCGGATGTCCTAACACATTTACTATTATCCGAAACAATTTTTTCTCCCCTCCCTCCGGAAGGCAGAAATTTCCTCTGTTAGGGGAGTATAGATCTTTTCTGGAACGACCCATTGTTTTTTCCACCAATCAGATTAGTTTGTTATAGATTTTTCCACTGTCGTTATAGAAGTTTTTCACTGTTGCAATTACAGAATTTTGCACTGCTGTTTAAAGGGGAAGTCAAGTCCGTAATGTAAACAAATGGTTTGTTTACATTTTGAATTGCTGTATTTTTTAAAATATGATGTACTGTCTGAATATCTAACACCATTTTGGTTCGTTATGCTTCTACATGGATATGAAATAAAGTTTATGTTCAGAAAAATTCGAAACATTCAAAATTTGGGCAATGTTTACCTCGGAGGGCCCTCACATTGTTATGCGCAGAACCGATGCGCAGAACGGACTTGACTTCCTCTTTAAGATTAATTGCACTGAAATCAACCAATCACAGTCGCGTAATATTTTGATGTATATTATTAGCATTGTATGTAGTGTCTTTTTTATTTAGGTTGTGCAAAAGCATCGAATTTTATTCGACATGTCGCTGCAAAAACTCCTGAAAAAGGTATAATATAGCCCGCCTGAATAGTTCTGAAAACACTCAAGTAAAACCATAGCCTGCATGGCAGGCGGCCCACATCGGGAAAGCCTGGGAAAGACAGCCTGCTGGGTTTGGCAGTGTAATCCAATTGATGATTGGTTGCGAGTCTGAGCCGCTGTCACTCAAAAGTGAATATGCTTTTAAGAGTCTATTGCAACAGGTTTAACAGGACTACTATATGCCTTGGCCTGTTAGCCGCTTCACGTTCTGAACAAAAAAGTGGGCGGTTATCAAATTACACTGCCAAACCCAGCAGGGCAGTATTTTACATCACCTGCCATGCAGGCTAGTAAAACCAGTGTGCTTCATACCTTACAAATTTTAAGAATAATAATTGTTAGAACTCCGTACCCAAAATTACAATCAAAAACAGCCTATGTCACCACCATTTAATGATGTTTTATTTGAATAGAAAAATCTTCAAGGAAAAGGAAGCTAGAGGGGTCATGGAAAGCTGTTCTGCGCACAAGAGTATCGCCAGAAAACTCTATACGAAGTATACAAAGTCGAAATCCTAGTAAGTAGGCTATAATGTCACTGAAGCGTAGTTATTTTAAAGAAATCTCTTTTTTTTAGTCCTTTCATGCGGCCGATTTCTTTAACTTTACCATATATAATTTGGTGTGATAAAAATGCCCTTTTGACGTATCTTTTTTTTGTACTTATAACTTATTCGATTATTGGTTCATATAGAAACTGTAACAAACCCACGCATAAGTCCGAAGAAGAAAAAGATATGGTTTCGCCCGAATGAAATCCAAGCGCTCCTTAAGGCTATGGAAGCACATCAAAATGCAGGCAACGTTGAACCTGATGGTCTTTGGCAAACCATTGAAAGTAATGAAGCTTGTCAAAAGTTAAAATTAACCAAAAAATACACCAAAATTCAACTATGCAATAAAGTAAAAAAAATGGCTAAGGGAAAGAAATAGTTGCAAATACTGGAATTGTTTATAATATAAACGTGCAGCCCCGTTATTGGCACATTAACCATAAGATCTTACTCACAATGAAATTTCACAGCATTATTTACCAACTAAGACCAGACATGATACTCTGCAAGAATTTCCTTACAATTAAACCGACGTATTGGCAAAAAATGCTGGTCATAGGTTAAACATTGCTCGAAACCTCATAATGGGTGAGGTCTATTGGTAATTAATACTAAATCCCCTTTATTATGTTTTCGTAGCACTTTGCATTGTGGTTATAGTGGTATCACTGATATTCAAGATGGCTTATTTTTTGTGCTGACCCGTGCAAGAACTTTTAACTGAAAAAGCTAGGGTCAGATGCGTGATAGCCAACAGCAAAATATTCGCGAAATCATTCAATATTTCATTTGAGGCCGCTATATTTATCAGTGATACCACTATAACCACAATACAAAGTGCTACAAAAACGTAATAAAGGGAATCTATAGTATTGTCTTAGTTTAGCATATATTGTCGGTATCATTTGCTTGCACATGACGTCATTCTGTGTCATTAGGCGCCATCTTGGTTGATTTTAAAGTTTTGTCCAGCCGTTTACATCGAAATAGTTGACAGACTATTGAAAACTTTGTTTTGAAAACATCTTACTGCATTATGGATAGTTCATGATTTCTGGCACAATACGACAAAGAATGAAGAATATAGTCTATAGGTTTTTAGTTGCCACAAAAATCAACCAAGATGGCGTCAATTGCAAATTACAATAGACGTGTAAACATTCATCTTTCAATCTCCGTATTTTACAAACTATGTAGGTATGAATCTTATGTAAATTCTTAGAACTTTGAAATTCGGTAATCGTTTTGTTTGGGTCGCTGAATAAAAATTAAACTTTACATTTACAGAGTTATTGGTTCATAATTTGTAAACGTTTGTATGGTCACGAGTCATGGATGAACATACCAGTTATAGAGTACTTCATCTTCATGACCCATTCTAGATCTCCCATCTCTTTGTTGTCTGTGTACCTTACAATTTTGTACAAAAGCATGGATCCTAATGATCCATTAGCAGAACTGTTTTAATCGTTTTCGCACAAATTTTCTGAGATACTTAAAGATACATTAATTTAAATCATATTGTGCCAAATGCCATCAAATTGTGCTAAATGCCATCTGATTATGCCAAATGCCATGTCAGTATTGTGCCAAATTGTGAATGTTCGACTTAATTTTAGCATTGATTTTGCTGAAAGCTTTATTCCAATGGCTTTGAAGGTAAATTTTTTATGCTTTGCGATAAATGGTTATAATTGCACTGAAATAGGTTAGAAATTAAGTAGTATTATGATATTTTTGTTTGTGGAAACAGCATGTAAATTTATTAATGCAAGTAATACTACATTAAGTACGTATTGTTGTTGGCTAGGGAATATCATCATCCATCAGCAGAACAGGTACATCAGGTAATATCTGTAGCAGTCAGTTCTGCTATAGAGCTTGATGCAGGGCTGCCAACTCTCCCGGATTATCCGGGAGTTTCAAGATTTTGGACCTAATCTCCCGGTCTCCAGATTTTGTCTTAATTCTCCCGGATTAGGATAATCACCATCGTCGATTTATGCACTAGCCATTCGATTCTTCGTTGTCAAAGGTTTTAACAATAAAAATCATTTGCATTGCACAATAAAACTTCGTTTTGCTGGAAAAATAAAAAAATTCTTTCGTTGCTGCCCGTGTTGCTTTTAATCAGCGGTTGAATGGCGCCATTTTCCGTACTCTTCATCTTACAGGGATTTTTTTACCCGTATTGACGCCATTAAAGATGTCGAATCCAATTGATTTTATCTTGCTTCAGAAAACGTTTCTAGGACTTTTGCCCTTTGGATATGAAATATTAAAGAGAAATGTTGTGGATAAGATAAAAATAATTCCAGGTCTAGATATTAATCCTTATATAAAGACGTCCGAGGGTAAGTTTTTTATTTTATGTAAATATGTGCAAATTAGTCAAAATGTGAATATGCAATACCTTCTACGTTTTGACAATACCAACATACAAAGAATGTTGATCGTCGAAATTCTTAATTTAACTGCTCGATCTTCAACAAGCTTGATTATACTTCAAATATACGCATTTCTGAGCAGAGTAGCCTGCGTGACAGGCCAGGGTGCATTTTAAGTAGCCTACGCCGAAGATCTTCGGCGTGAGTTTGGCAAATTACAATACTATCTATAGTTAATATTGGCGTATATATCTTCGGCGTAGACTTTACATGGAATGCACCCTGGGTGACAGGCAGCAGGGCTGAGTTCCGGCGATACCTGACTGGAGACTTTGTTTATGCACACTGATAAATGCTGGTTAGTTTATATGTAGATTAATTTGCAATGTATACGGTATACAACACTTGGAAGTAATCTACCTTTAATATATCAGAATAATCTATGCAGACGAAGTTACACCCTGGCAGCATGGCAAGACTGTAAATTGAACAAGCCCACTTAATGCGTGGGGGTTATTAATTAACTGATACACTTTACTTAGGTTTCAAAGATATCATTGCCGAGAAAATTTTCCCAAGTGATGGTCCAAAAGGCTTTGAGCCAATACAAACCTATGGTGATGACAATTGTTTGTACAGAGCAATGTCAAGAATACTGTGTGGTAATGAGGACATGCATGTGGAGTTGCGTGTACGAACATTTATGGAACTATGTATGAAGAAGGATTTGTATTACGATGATGCCTATCTAAGGAAATTGACAGGTCTTGATGGTTATAAAGATTCTCTACTCGAAAGTAGTTTTGACACATCAACAACTGTGAAATGTACAGATAAAACATCACGTCAGCAACGTGGGTTTGAAGCTGGTGTTATCTCAACTATAAAGCCTGGTAACTATTCCAACATGTGGCATATATTCGCATTGGCCAATGTCATTAGCTGCCCAATCACCTCAGTCTATCCTAATGTCAATGGATGCCTGGTTAATCGTAAGTATATGAATGTGCACATTGTACCAGAAAACGTTAGACAATCAAACGTTACCTACCTAATGTGGACTCATGTGCAAAACACCAACCTCCGAGGATTCACACCAAATCACTTTGTGCCCTTGATGCCTCAAGTTAGCAGAGACCAAATTTCGCCTCCAAACACCACCACTTCTGGACCATTAAGTAGCTCATCTTCGCCATTGCAGGTTACAAGTACTTCTCAGAAAAGAAATGTTTCAATGGATCAGAATACTAAGAGCACCAAGAAAACACGTTATCAAGGTTCATTCATGTACAGTTCACACTTTTCCCCATTGTGGACGCAGCAATGGCCATGTATAATTGCCAGCTGTAAGTCAAAAAACCATTTCTATTGCACAGTTTGCCAAAGGGCACTTTTATGTGCAAAGCAAGGAGTTCGGGATGTGAAGGTACACATGGCAACTGCATTACACCAAAACAATTCAAAAATAATGAAGACTCAGAAGACACTTCTTCAGACTTGTGCATCACAACAAAATGCACAAGATAAGGTATGAGTACCAGTCAAAGTTCGAGGTTTTGTGAAGGTTTTGTCATTTCCAGGAAGTGTACCTGTCAATTTGCCAAACAAATTTACAAGAATAGCAAAAATACCATCAGATTCGTTTATGCCAATGAATTCTTGTTATACATGATGATGGGTCTTGCTTGTTTTCTTTGTACAATTATACATTTGTATTTCTTCAGGTCACTTCAGCAGAAGTACAAATGGCTATGTCACTAGTAAGCAGCAACTTACCATTTGCAGCAGCTGACACTTTTAATTCATTGTTCAAGTCTATATTCCCTGACAGTGAAATTGCTAAAGCATACTCACCAGGAAGGACAAAGACAACCTGCATTGTAAATGGAGCATTGAAGCCCTATTTCAGGTAAATATGATTGATATTATAAGGGTATACCATAAGTAGTAAACTTAAGTTTGAAGTTCTAGTAAAACCCAGTTAAATTTAAGGAAACATGTGATATGTGCTAAAAAGGTTTTGTTGACATTGTGTCATGTAATTTTGTTTTTTAGGAATTCCCTTGTTGAACAAATGAAAATCCTACCATATTCTTTGGCAACCGATGGTTCAAATGACAATGGACTTACAAAGATGAATCCCCTCACTGTCAGAATTTATGATGTCAACCTAGGAAAAGTGGCCACGCATTTTCTGGACATGGCCCTTTCCACAGGTGGAACAGCTGAAGAGTTGTTTTCAGCTATTGACGGTTGCATATCATCATACCAAATTCCATGGGAAAATTGTGTTGCTGTTGGTGTTGATAACACCAACGTCAATGTTGGGAAGAACAATTCAATTATGACGCATGTTAAAGCTAAGAACGATGCTGTGTATTTCAGTGGATGCCAGTGCCACGTGGTGCACAATACGTCTGCTGCCGCAGCCGCTGCCCTAAGAAACACAACAGGATTTGACATAGAAGACCTAATGGTGGACGTTTACTACTGGTTTGATTACTCTACCAAGCGCAAATCTGTACTCGCTGAATACACCGAATTTTGTGATCAGGACTATAGGAAGATACTCAAACATGTCAGTACGCGATGGCTTAGTCTTGAGAAAACTATCACTCGAGTACTCAAGCAATATGCCTCCCTCAAGTCATACTTTATTTCAGAAGAACATGAAGGACATGCAAGATTTCAATGACTAAAACAAGCCTTCAGTAATCCCATGACCGAGGTTTATCTTCTCTTCTATCAGTCGGCATTGCAGATTTTCATTAGTCTTAATCTGTTTCTTCAAAAGCAAGATCCGTTAATTGGCTCCGTTAGTTATTCATTAAAGAGATTTTTGCGACTCCTTGCATGTAAGTTTATTCCTCCTCAAACTGTGAAGGCAACGTCGAATTTCAAGGAGCTTTTCGATGTCGAGAAACATAAAAATGGTAATTGCTATAGTTCCTAGATATATTGTGTTTTTGTTTGTCCTTAAAAAACATGGTTTGTGCGGCAAGTCTTAAGAATTAAGCACATGTTGTTACAAATATGCGTAAAACACTAGAAAGTTTAATTTTAAAACTATTTATTTTAGATTCCTCTGTTGATATTGGATTAGTAACAAGAACCACATTAAATAACCTTATAGAATTTGGAGATGCGAGTACATACGAACAGAAGATGTTCTACGAAGGAGCGAAAGCGTTTTTCCTCACAGCCTTTAAATACGGTGTAGACCGTATGCCAGTAGATGATCCTGTGCTCCAAAACCCAAAACGCTGAGTTCGACCATTTTGAGGACAGAGCAAATATATCATTTTTGATGCCTCAATATTGTGTTCAAAGGTACGTGATAATGTCTTAATATTCATTTATCAGTATCATGCATAGTTAATACAAAAAATGGATAACAGCAACATCAATTTTGTGAGGGTTAATTTCTTGTCTTAAAAGGTACCCAAATCTTTTGCCATTTGAAACAGCCGTTGATTTGGAGCTCCTCAGCGAAGAAGTAAATGACTTTTCGATGATGGAGGAGAATGAGATACCTAGGGCAGTAATAGAAGCTGCAGAAAATGGAGATTGTAAGCTGAGACCTGACATCATTTGGAGCCACATGTCTTCCATCAAAGGGCCGGATGGTCAGAAAAGATTTGCGAAGCTTTCGAAAATCGCTCTTCTGGTGCTCACCATTCCGCACTCAAATGCAGAAGAGGAGAGGGTGTTTTCCATGATAAGGCAAAACAAAACATCGTTCAGGTCAAGCCTTGATGAGCAGGAGACTCTTGGGAGCATTATGACCATCAAGATGGAAATGGCAAATCAACCTGTACCCAAGGGAGGTGTCTTCAAATTTCCACCATCAGTACTGAGCGATGCAAAAAAGGCAACCAGCAAATATAATAAGGCCCATTCAAGCCGCTAAGACCTGACGATGCAACTATGCATATGACACAAGTTTTACGTTATTGTAATTATACTGTTATTAGACTGAATTTTAAATTGGAAGTATAACATTTTCCACATGTCTTTTCAGTTTTGAGTTATTGCATAATGACGTATCGCACAATTTGGATTATTTTTTATAAAGAACATTAAATATTTTGTTTTTCAGTAAACTTTACAATGTTTACGATTTTACATTCGCTTAAAAGACTTTCAAGTTATTTTATTAAACTAGTACATAACAATTATGTGAAACTTGAAATCAACAGTTATTTGTGTTGATAATGAAGTTTGACAATAAACCAGTGTATATATCTATATGCCAGCAGGTATTTACAACTGCATAGTTGGCTTTTCGATAATGACGTCATTTCCGACGTGACGTCATCGATTTCAATGGAATATCAATTCTCCAGATTTGAAAACTTCCAAGGTTGGCAGCCCTGTTGATGGTCATTTTTCTTGTGATAGATTGGTTGATTATATTAACCCCCCACCTCGAATAGCTTTGCTAAATGTGGGAAGGTTGTTTTTGTATGATTATTTATTTGTAAGGATTACTAATAAATTGTGTTGTGTTGTGTTGTGTTGTGTTGTGTTGTGTTGTGTTGTGTTGTACAAGCAGTTGATTGTAAAGCCTCGAATGTTCCAATTTTGTGATCTTAATAGCCTGTTAGACCAATGTGAAATTTTCTAAAACAGACTACTTTGCTTTTTGATGTTAAAAGGTTTAGAAATTTACTCGTTTTTACTTTATGCTTATGAGTTGACTTGACCAGTGACCACCAATTTGTTTTTGCACGTCCCAAATCCAAATAAAATTGAAAATTGGAGATTGACCCACAGTATACCGGGCACATGTCCGTTCGCAGGTTAACCCGGAAATATTATCGGCAAAAATGTATCGCAAACTTTTGCAAATGTACTGTACTGTGTGTCTAGAGTTTGCTCACAGGTTGCTCGATAAACGGTTGGTTTATCGTTTTTATAGCTGTTATGATTGATAAGCTTTATAGCATCAACTGCATGAAGTATAGACATGGTCACTCAACTGCTGACATAACAACGCAGCCGTGCACAATCGGAGCGTATTGCAATGATTTTGTATGCATATTACAACACGTTATATTTGAATTTACATTATATTTAACATGTTTGTTATTCTGTCTTATGTTCAGAATTTTATTTATTTAAATTTGCAATGTATTCTGGTTGTGAGAATTGCAAGATGTTTTTTGTACGGAAGTAGAATGAAACATAATGTTTAGACTGCATGGTATCTTGAATCTAAAGATATGAACTATACACGTGTCTTTGTTTTTGTAACATTTTGATTGTATTTCGAAATTCTTAAATTGTTCTTGTAAGGTATGAAATTCAGATGTCGCTGTAGATTGTTCGCTGGACGAAATCAATTAAGTTGCTAATTTTCGTTTCTACATATTTGGTACGGCATCTTTTCTAAGTATAATTTATAGTATCGTGTTTTTTAATGACCAGAAGCTTTATACGATATCGAATTTCTCGATTCGTTGATGATAGCTACAATATTTTTAGTATGCTTTAATATGAAATAGTTTTTAGTGGCCAAAAGACTCTATACCGCATTTTACTGCAATATCATAATTAAGTTCATTCATAATGTAAATACAAATGTATTTATTCTTATTTCTAATATTGAATTTTATTTCTAATATTTGGTAAACTATACTATTGTTCCTGTGTATGGGTGGGTACTTATAAACAGAATATTGACAAATTACAGTTAGTTAAAAACTTTGCTGCAAGGATTATTCTTGGAATTAAGAAATTTGATCACGTAACACCTGGTCTTAAAGAATTGGGATGGCTATCTGTTAAGAATATGTTAGAGTATAGGGATGCTCAAATTATTTATAAAATAATTAATGATAGTTATTGCACCACCATATTTGCGCAATCTCTTTAAAAAACGGTCTGACGTGCATAATTGTTACACTCGTAATTGTAAAGATCTTATATCCCAAAATGCAGAACAAGTTTGGCTCAAAGCTCATTCAGGTATAGAGCTATAAAAATTTGGAACAGTATTCCGGATAAGATAAGAAACAGTCAAACAATAACTATTTTGAGAGGGGAAGCCAAATAACTGGTTACATACCAAATCTTAACAATCTTAATTCTAGCCCATAGTCTATAGTATTTAATTATTGATATATTTGTAAATAGTAATTTAACTACGTCATTTGAGAATTGTAATTAGGCCTGAAAAGCCCCACGGGGAGGATTCACAAACGGATTCAGTAAAATCACCAATAGCTTATTTTAATTTTTTGGTACCACGTTTGTGACGTAATTTACCAGCCAAAAATGAGCAATTTCAAAAACAAAAAAAGCGATTTGTAAGAACGATATGTTCTATATATTCATGGAAATTTGGTAGAAACAGAATGAAAATTTCAGAAGTTGAAGCATATTGCAGATGCATGTTTCGGACAGGTGTTTGGCAGCCTTTTACGTATTCCATGTGGAGCTCCCCCATGATAGCTAATTAACAATTAGACGAGGCTGAGTTGTCAATGAGCGAATAGTCATGTATAGTAGACTATTTGCTCATGGACAACGAGGCCAAGTTATCTAATTGTTTTAGTATAAACTTTAACATTAATTTACAACTAGGCTGCAAACACAATACAAAAATACACAAAGAAACATTATAAAACCATTAAAGGTAAACAAATATTTTAGTTTTTGTTCGCGTAAAGTGTTTTACAAAATTCAGTTTTTATTTTAAAATTTCATTGAGTGTATGTTATTTTGTCTATTTTCTTACCCTTAAAAATTGCCATTCCATATTTTTGTTGCTTTTTTCGGGGGTTTTTTAGTACAGAATTGTTCAACAAGTCGTCCAGAAAGACACTTCGGCAAAAGTGCAAAACACTATTGAATTTTCTATTAGTAGTAATAGCCTACTAGTAGCGTAGCCAATCAGAAGGCACGATATGTGATAGCCTACTAGTAGGTTTATACCATAGATATAGGAGCTATGGTTTATACTAATATAGAATAGACAGTTTGGAAATCATTAGAATAGCATTACAGGGTGTCTAAAAAAACGCTATGAAAATTCAACAGGCTGTTGTGCATCACAAACTTAACTAAACAATTCAATTTTTACATAGGACGAAAGAGCTGTTATTTAGCTGTTCTATGATATATTTCTTAAACCTTAATAACAATGAGAAATGGCCACATACTCGTCAGATAAAATTTTTTTTGTTAAAATCACATTCTTCCGCCGTTGGGAATTAAAAATGCATTAATTAGGCAAAGTTAATTAATCCAAAAGCACCGCAAGTCTGCTGCAAGGTACTTGTTTTGTAAAACGTTTTGATTATGAATGTTCCCTGTTCAGGGGTTAATTGAACCATGTTTAATGCAATAATGGACGTTCTTATGGTCTCACTAAGACGAAGATTGACGAGTTGAGCTTATTTTAGATTATTTAACATTCAATTTTAATTCCCTCTTGGGAATTGTTTACGTTTCGTTTTCCATGCATACCTAACGATGGAAGAATGTGATTTTGACCGGCAATTTTTATTTGACGAGTAAGTGGCCATTTCTCATTGTTACGATTTAAAAAGAGTATCATAGAAAAGCTAAGTAACTGTTCTTTCGTCCTATGTAAAAATTGAATTGTTTAGCTACGTTTATGATGCACGACAGCCTGTTGAATTTCCGTAGCGTTTTTTTTTTAAACACCCTGTATAACTCATTATCTAGGTCGTAGTCAACGTCTATTCATAAATAATTAATTTGTTAACTTAAAATATAGTCACAACTCTGGGTTTCACGCCCAATGCGATCTTCAGGCGACAATGTTTAAATCTCGAGATTTATTTTAAATCTTGATTCATTTTAAATCTCAATAAAAGTTTAAATCTCGAGAATTTAGTTCAAATACTCAACACCACATGCTAACTTACCATTCCAACCCTTTTAACTCATTAAGCGGCAATGCGCCCGAATGCGCCCTGAGATTGGCAAGGGGGTAAGCGGCAATGCGCCCGAATGCGCCCTAACATGACTCCTTAACTTGCGGGCATGATATTTGAGCACGTGTTTATCGGGTTGCCTAGCAACGGATACGAAAATAGAACGTGAAATTCGAGCTTTTCAACGGTGTATCATGCAAGAAAATCGGCCAAAAACTCGCAAAGTTTTTCAAGTTTAAAACCTTAGTTTTTCAAAAATAATGAACAATGGCGAAACTGTTGCAAAGAATGGTTTTACAGCAAGTTTTAAAAGCGAAGAAAGAAGAGGTTCTTGAATCATTTACAACGAAAATTTGGCATGAAAGGAAAGCGAATGTATTGACGTCTTGGGGCCAAGTTCTCCTGTGAACCATCCGCAAGATTTTCAGCCAAACTTTATTAAAAATAGAAGTCGGAAATCACAAGAAAGATGAACACGGAACTCAAGTGAGCAGATACGATATTTTTAAGGGTATTTTTGAGTACAAATATGCGATCAAACACTCACAAAATTTGACTGCATTAAAGTTGGTTGAATCTAGTTTAAAGTTATCTTTTTAGACGAACTGTTTATGCAAATTTGGGCACAATTTCGACTGTTTTCGTAACCCCATTGTTGGTCTTCTTGTTCAAGTTGTTATTTTAGCTAAAGTATGTTTCAAACGACACCAGATTAAATTACTATGTGCGTACGTGCCCTTTTTGGCAAGAATACTTCGAGTATTAAATTACACTAAGTAAGTAGGATACTTCAAAATCACTGTTATATCTATTTTCATCAATTTAGTCTTAAAACGACATATTGTGGTTTAAAATAAGTGTATTGAATTAGTGCGCTTGCTGGCCGCGTGCGAATTTTCAAAAAGTCTGCACTTGAGTTCTAAAGCTTTTAAAACGCTTTTTCTATTGGGTTTTATATCCCCATAAAACTTTAAATCGATAAAGCAGATAATAATGTTGATGCAACCTCATTTTCTAGTAACTACACATTGAATCAGAAGGAAAAGTTATCAAAAATAGGTCACAACCATTGCTTGCAAAATGCCGCTTCTCTCTGAAATGGCTTCCTTTGCGGGAAGCCATGAAATTGAAGTCCTAACAAAAACATAGTTTAGCAGTTCTTTTGGGCCCATAGCTCACTTATTTATCATGAAATCGCTTCACTAGAACATTTTTACTAATGTCTATGGGAAACTTTGTTATTTTCTGAACTAAAAGTTTATGGTTTTGAGGTGTTTATTTTATAAAATAGCACGCACGACAAAATGGCACTAATGTGGTTTCTCATGTCTGACAAACAACCAAAGATGAAAGTCCTTATTTCACCCTTTTATAGCTATGTTGAATACCTGACTATTAGGTTATCTTTTTCATTTGAGCATACAGATAACATTTCTACACAATTAGTCCTTATGAAAGCTTATTTCAAACTAAAAAAAGCGATTGTTTTTCAGAACCAGACTTCAAAAGAGAACGCGTGTCTGACATTTTATAGCAGCCTACATTGGCGCGCAAAATAATTTTGGCTAAAAACCGTTTCTTTCCAAACAGAAACATGAGAAAATTGAGCTAAACGGCTTACCTGATGTATGTTTAAAATGTTTTTCCCCTTATGGTGTTTTCCAGTGCCTTGAGTAGAGAAGTGAATAACTCCTGGTTTTGTCACCGCAATTTGCCCTTGAAAATGCCGGCTGTCATTGTCTGTGTTAAAAAACACCTCAGAAAATTCGTATTTTCTCACCTTCCCATCCTTGGTTTATATTGAAAATAAATAAATTCTAGTACCATATGTCCTTTTAAATATATTTGAGGTAATTAAAAACTCCAAAGATGAACAAGCACTGTGTTTTGGCTTGCATATTTTGTTGAATTTGAACACTTAGTTACTGTTCTAAATTTCGTGTTGTAAATATATCTTGCCCAAAAAAAGCAAATGAGTATTTTTTATAATTTTTGATCGTTTTCTAATTCATATCCCAAAAGATGAAAATTGGTTATAATATAGATATGTACTAATTTAGTAAATGATTTTTTTTTGGTTTTTATATAAATTTATGGAGATATTGCCCCTTTACGTAATGAGTGACATGAAAAACAAAGTGTCACTGCTTTACAAATAAAAATTCTCATTGAAAAAACTAATGATATATGTAGGTATGCAAAGTCATTTAAACTAAATTTGGTCAATCATATATCACTAATGTTTGGTTGAAAAGATCAGATTTTTTTATGCAACTGTTTCCGAGATATTGCCATTTTGGTGAAAGCTCTTGAATTCAATCACATATTCGCCATATTGCTTGCGCCTTAGGCGGGTAGAAACATTGTAACAGCTTGCCGCTTAATGAGTTAATTGAAACTAGGAAAATTAATTATATGCCTAATTCAAGATCAGTAAAAAATTTTATTGTTATAAACATTGTGTTTACTGATTTTGAATTATGCATAATTGATTTTCCATAATTCAATGACCCCCTTCACATAATTTTTGAAAAAATAGTAACCACCCCCACCACCACCGATGGAAACATAGACACATGACCAGGCATCAAGCTCTACATTTACTTATGCTATCAAAAATATGCCTATTTAATCAGAACAAACTCTGCTAATGGCCAGAAAAATTTTGATAAAAAATTCTGACTTAAAAATCAGAATCCAGTTTCAGTGTATTTTCCGCACTAGAAAGTATATTTTCTACTATAGCTCACATTATTTACCACATTAACTATTAACTATTAAATCTAAAATGTTGGTTTTTATTAAACAGTTATAAAACCTAATTGCATAATTAACCATTCAACTTTAAAATATGAACTGGTAATCGATTGTTTTTCATATTATAGCTGCGCGCATTGCATTGCATCTTGCATTGCATCTTGGGTCTTTCTGTTGATTAGAATTGACAATTTTTCTAGCTAAATTTGCTGCCCTGCGATAGAAATAATTGTTGAAATTGTCAGTTTTCCCCCACTATAATAAAGTAATGGACCCCCTTCTGAATCAATATTTTTAGGTGCCCCTCCCTTTTTCGGTCAAAAATACCTCATGACCCACCCGCTGTTTTGCCAGCCCACGGCATCCCTGGTCACCAATAATGAATGGTCCCTTAAAAGGTCACAAGACTGCCCCCTATAGGTTACAAAAGTGACCTACCAAGGTTACAAATTTAAAAATGGCCTATGAGGTTACAAAAGTGCCCTATTCAGGTTACAAAAGTGCCACATAGATGAGGTTACAAACGTGCCACAGGGCCTTTTTTAACATACAAGCTGGGGGGGGGGGGAATTCCCCCCCCCAGTCCCCCCTTGTGCCCCCCCCCACGAAATCACATTTTGCCCCCCCAGGAAAAGTCCCTTTTTCCTAAAATTATACAAACAATCCAGCGAAGATTAACAAATAGATAAACGGAAAGTAAGTTTTAGGCTTTATCCTTTGTTCTTGTCTAACAAAATCGATTTAAATTGTTACTTTTTTTACCACTAAGCCATGATAAATTATTAATATTTTTTTTTATTTTTTGGATGCTCAGAATGCAGAAAATAGCATTTCACGGTTTCAAATTTCAAAAATTTTCTTGGGATTATCCCTCTAATAAGTAATAATAAATTACAGTTAATATTCTTTTTTACTTTTTGTGCATTTTTCCATCTTTTATTTCAAATACAACTATAGTTAGCATAAATGTTAGAGCAAATTTGGATGCTCAGAATGCAGGAAATGGCATTTCTGTGGTTCAAATTTCAAAAATTTTCTGGGGGAGTACACCCCCCCACACACCTGACCATTGCTATCCTCCTCTAATAAGTAATGATAAATGATGGTTAATTTTTTTTTAACTTTTTGTGTGTTTCTTCCTTTATTTATTTCAAATACAAGTATAGTTAGGATAAATTTTGGAGCAAATTTGGATGCTCAGAATGCAGGAAATGACATTTCCGGGAGTCAAATTTCAAAAATTTTCTGGGGGAGTACACCCCCAGACCCCCCATTCATGCATGGTATATTTGCCACACACGTGGCTTTCAGCCATTGCTATCCCCCTCTAATATATTATCTCACAGAAAGGTCCCTTTTCAAAAAATGCCCCCCCCCACGGGAAAATCCTTAAAAAAGGCCCTGATGTGCCAATTCATATATCTTTTAACAACATTATGAAAACATGTAAAACAATTGTTATCAAATGTCGAGGATATATAGGAAGATATTTAAGTTTCTATAATATTTAAAAAAAATTTTAGTCAGTTTTACCTATTGTTTTTCTGAACAGTGGCAAAGCCAGCCCAACAATTTGATCATGCTATGCCGGCAAATATTTCCGTGTTTATAGACCGTAAAAACAAATAATTTCCTAAAAAATTAATAATGATCATATGCATGATTTACAATTTGCCTAGCATGACCAAACAGTCGGTTGGCTTCGCCACTTGTTTTATATTGATTTATTGCGTTATTTCCCGCAAATTATATGGTCTGTAGTTAGAACTAGCATCTAAATTTTATAATTACAGGGGTCTTAAATAAGAGCCTATTTAAGATTTCTGGTAGGCCCTTATCATAACATTAATCTAACTTTTTTAATGTAAATATTTATATATGTTATGATGTATGGGCAAAACTATATAAAAAGAAATTAAACCGTTATTTATGTGAACTCTATTATTATTATTAGTGAGCATGTAGAAATTATGCATTAATAGTTTCTATGAATATCTTCTCCACTAAATAACATTTACTACAATATCAATTGCCAAATGCCATTTGGTACAATATTGTGCCAAATGCCATAGAAATTGTGCCAAATGCCGCAGAGAATTGTGCCAAATGCCATGGCATATTGTGCCAAATGCCATTGTGCCAAATGCAATTGTGCCATATGCCATAGAGATTGTGCCAAATGCCATGGCATTTGGCACAATTATTGTGCCAAATGCCAGAAAATTGTGCCAAATGCCACCCACCCATCAATCAATCAATCAATCAATCAATCAATCTATCTATCTATCTATCTATATATATCTATATCTATCTATATATATATATATCTATATATATCTATATATATATATATCTCTATATATATATCTATATCTATATATATATATATATATATATATCTATATATATATCTATATATATCTATATATATCTATATATATATCTATATATCTATATATCTATCGTAATAACTTCTAAACAAGTAAAGCTTTTAACGAGAAATAAGTTCCATCAAATAGAGGAAAGGCTAACTTAGATTTTGATATATTACAGTTGTATTTCACTTAAAAATTCACGGAGATATTAATGTTTAAAATCGGGATCATATTTCTGGATGTGTCTGAAATATGCAAAAAACAGCATACCAAATATTAATCAAGATTTGCCCAAATGAAACATGCACTATTACCAGTAAATAAATGACACTTGACAAATTGTTTATTATGAAACAAAGTATTATTATCTACAAAATACAAGCAAGATTTATTCGTCCGAAATCCGTGTGTGTTCCTAGCACGAATACGTTTCTTATTTCATGAGACCACTGCATGGCAAAGGATCGTCATGGATTGTTTGTAGTTCTGAATTAGGGCATGCTGTTGACAATGGAATTGTGAATTTTCTAATTTTTGCAACGTTCTGAAAACCCAAACTCTTTTGCCTTTCTTAATCTTAGTAAGTTCACAATAAACTGAGAATGAAACACAATCAAATCATGCATACAACTCCATAAGTAAAGACATAACAAGCAACTCCCCAGAGACATCCAACATTTTTGGAACAAAACGTAACAAAATAGTAGCGTTGACACTGTGATGTGTATTTGCAAAAACCAATATTATTTCCTTCATTAAAGAATAATATTCATCCTGCTGTAACCGAGAAATAATCAACTTTGATTTGAACCCATGAAAAACATAAAAAGATGAGGCTATTTAAAAAACATTTAAGCACCTACCTTGCATGGTCTTCCATGTACCTTTATGTTTGCAAAGACCTATTAAATACTTGCATACAACGAACGTTCATATTTCAGGAAACAATGAGTTAAGACTTGCATGTGAGATGTCTAAATCTACGCCATATCCCTTACAAGCCCTGACGACAATTCGCTGAAATACAAGTTAGCCTGATATGTCCTTAAGCAAACAAACGCTGGAGTTAATATTTGATATGCCAATTTTCGCTAATTTTAGACACATCCCAAAATATGCTCCCGATTTTGAACATTAATATCTCCGTCAATTTTTAAGTAAAATACAACTGTAACATATCAAAATCTAAGTTACTCCTTCCTCTATTTAATCCACGTTATTTCTGTTTGATAGCTTTACTTGTTTAGAAGTTATTATAAAACAAACCGGAGTACTTTTTTTGGGACACCCGGTATATCTATATATCTATATCTCTATCTCTATCTATCTCTATCTATCTCTATCTATCTCTATATATATCTCTATATATATCTCTATATATATCTCTATCTCTATATCTATCTATCTATCTATCTATCTATCTCTCTATATATCTATATCTATCTATCTATCTATATCTATCTATATCTATCTATATCTATCTATATCTATCTATATCTATCTATATCTATCTATATCTATCTATATATCTATATATCTATATATCTATATATCTATCTATATCTATATCTATATCTATATCTATATCTATATCTATATCTATATCTATATCTATATATCTATATATCTATATATCTATATATATATCTATATATCTATATCTATATCTATATATATATATATATCTATCTATCTATCTATCTATATATATATATATATATATATATATATATATATATATATATATATATATATATATATATATATATATATATATATATATATATATATATATATATATATATATATACATGTAAATTATACCTCACATATCAAAAATGAGTCGCTTTTCTTTAAGAATTTAAATATAGTCGAACCCCTATAAGCGGACACCTCTCTTAAGCGGACACCTCTTTTAAGCGGACACATATCTCAGTTCCCATTCGTTTTCTTTAATAAAATACTATTATCATAACCCCTATTAAGCGGACACCCCTCTTTAACGGACGCGGACACCTTACTTGAGGTCCCAATGGGCAAACCAACCTCTCTTAAGCGGACAGATGACAGATTGTCTGATAAAATGTATTCAATATTCGACAGTAAATAACAATTGAGATCAATTTACATGGCATATTGACAGTGACACACCAACTTGGCACGAAGACATCAGAGCCAAGATTATTGAGGAAGTGACGAACAAGGACGGAGGGGGACAGGGGGGGGGGGGCAAAAGTGCCCTTAGATAAAAATTCTAACCCAAAAAAATGAGGTACAACGATTGAAAAGTATGAATTACGGGTGAAATGGATGTCATATTGATATATATGTGAAATTTTGTGGAATATTGTGTCAAAAATTAGGTTAACTTTCAAAATTTTTTTTCCCTAGTTTTGGTGACTGAAGGTTCCGGAAAATTTTTTTCGTAAACAAAATATTAATTAGTGATTGCCCTTATGTCAACATTGCCCCCCTGTGACCTACCCTCGCTCCAGCGTCCCTGCATAATCCTATATAAAGTAGCATAAAATTAACATCCCTGTGTAATAACGCCCGATTTGCATGCTTCTCTTTAAAAGTACGAAAACGTAATACCGCGATGATTATTAGATAATTTACAATATGACGGAGCCTGTCAATATAGGTCACTCGCTTGTGCTTTTCCTAGGACTTCATCTAGTTGAAGGAGGGATCAGAGCAAAGAACTTAAAGATTCAACAGAATCGTGTTCGGGAATCTATTGCACGAGTTTATCCTGTTCTCTCTGTACCTTGCCCAAATGCCCTCTGGCATATTGATGGCGATCATAAATTGATAGAACCATACAGAATTGTCATTCATGGTGGGATTGACGGGTATTCCTGCCTTATCGTATATTTAAGGGCTTCAACAAATAACAAGGCCAATACTGTTCTTGATCTTTTCCAAGAGGCTGTCAGCCTTTACAACCTACCGTCTCGTGTTCGTTCAGACCAAGGTTTGGAAAATGTCGAGGTAGCACGGTTCATGTTGCGTGAACGAGGCTTGAACAGAGGCAGCACAATAACTGGTAAGTCGGTTCACAACCAACAAATAGAACGTTTATGGAGAGAAGTTAATCGTACGGTGGTAAGCAAGTTTAAGAACATATTCATGTACCTAGAAACAAGTGGATTGTTTGATCCACTGAACGAAATTCACCTATTTTGTCTTCAATATGTGTATGTCCCGGAAGTTAATAACTCCCTAGAGGAACTGACTAGAGTCTGGAATTATCATGGCCTTACCACTGAAAGAAATTGATGCTGAGTTGCAACGAATCCTCGAAAAAACAACTGACAACGAGTATTGCATTCAAAAGTACCTGTTAGTTCTTGATTACATGGAATATCAAAATCGCGAAAATGGACTTGAAAATGATGTTTAGAATCAGATCTGTACTGCATTCACTTTATTTTTTTGCCACGTTTAAACAGATCGATTTCTGAATTTATAGCCGCTCACAACCACCGTATCTTCCACCACCTGACCACGCTCCAATATCAAGGGGTTCAAGAGCGTGCGTAAGGAATGAGTGTGAGGCAGTTGTTGGAAACGCGCGATCTTCCATATGTAGAACTATCTCATATGGAAAATCCCCTTGATGACAATGGTCTACAAGAGCTTGTGCGAACTGTTGACCCATTATCGGCTGACAATGGTAAATTGCTTTACCAAAGAGCAATTGAATTTGTTGGAAATCACTTGCTATCAAATACTAATAATGATGACCGACTGAAGATACTTCAAATTAATTTATAAAATTGTGGTTAACAGATCTCATTTTTGTGACAGTAATTCGGCTTTTAAATTTTGTGTGATTTTAAATATAAGGGTCCACTACATTATATATGTATTATGACATTATTATTTAATTTGGGTAAATACATCAATCACAAAAAAACGATGCTGTGAAGGGGATGGAAGCAGAATTAACTCTTTCCTGTTCAAAACTGTCTCCTTGCCCTTGGATTTACCAGAATTGCCTTTCCCTTTGGCTACACTACTGTGCCCGTAGTTTACTTGTGGATTGTATCTAGGCCTTGAATTATAAAAACATGGATGGTTTCCTTGTTGTGGTCTTTGCTCTTGTCCTAGTAGACCTACAATCCTGGACAAAACATCTGCGACACTTCCAATTACTTGACAAAATGTCGTAATATTATCGTAAATTTAGAAAACCTCCCCCTTTGCCCCCAACATTCAATGTTGATTGCATTCGTAGAATACGAATAAAACGTCCAACATTGTTTTGGGGGGTGGAGGGGGGCAAACGAGTAAATTATTCCGGTCTAACTGGTAAAAAAGCCACAAAGCAATGTTTTAATGGAGTGTTGCAGATGGTTTTATCCAGGATTGTCTGAATGAGTCGAAATTATATTCTTTTACATTTCGCTTTTTATACATGTCCTTGCCATGTATTTCGTTTATGTGCATTCCGTATGACCTACTTATGTTCATAATTACATCAAGTACCTTATTTCATTAATTAAATACGTCATGAATATCTTAGTGTTTTGAAAGGGTAATAATGTGTGGTAGAAACTTTTGCGGAGAAAATCGCATACGATATATTATTTTTTAGCAATTAAAAGCGACGAAATGTTTCGGAAATAATTGAGAAAGTAAAACTATCGCGTTCTAGTAGATATCATTGCAATAATTCAGAAATTAAGAAATATATATAAGTCATATTTGTTATCTGTATATTTACAGTAAGACCTGCAAGACACAATAGACCGGCCTAATCAACCATATGTGAGAAGGTGCCTAGACAGACATGGCAAGCGATCAGTGCATGAAATACAATGTACGACCCAAAAAATATATTTCCATAAGGGTTTTTGTGCGACTTATATATTGATAGGTTATACATTCAGTCTATACATAAATGTCTGTTATATCCAGTAGAACTTAGGGACAATAAATTCAACATATAGTTACGTTTCTGGTATTTACTGCATATATTTAAAATATTAAGTGACAACTATATAAATGTGAATTATGCATTTTGACACACGTTTTCCAGGTGTGGTAAATCAATGTGTAATTTTACTCAGTGTCATACATAACGGTGTACCACCACCAATGCACTAAGACTGTGATAATATCCCCAGTTATAGGTGTAATACAAACCAATGAAATGGACTTGAAAGAACGTGTGTTGCTTAGTATTCCAACCTACTTCAGGCAATATTTAGCGCGATAATTTTAAAATATTCCACGGTGTACCACTTTAACCCTACAAAAGGTTATATATATATATATATATTCTTATATGTTCACGCTGTACCGTGGTACACCGTCAATGCGCATGCGCTATTAATTATACGACAATAACAAAATCGGATTAGTCATTTAGCGCGGCGGTCACGCAATATATTTCCAGTCAACAGCTAAGCGTTTGTCTGTCTAACAACACAAATAAATATGGATTAACGTATTTTAGAATATTCTTACTGTAAAATAGTTGGTATATACACTAGTAAGTACATTGACTTGCTCTCCGACGTATATTAAATGCGGGAAAGTCGTCGCATACGATTCTTAATCGCATTCTATACAAGCCATCAAAGCATAGCATTGCATGAGGGTGTTATATTACCTTTTCGACCATATGGTATTTGCTTCTTGAAGCCTAATACATTCTAGTGAGTCATATTTACTACGGAAAGAGAAAGTCCTGCATAGAACTCAATTTTTAATGCGCAATGCCTTGGTTATTGAATTTGAAATATACAGACAATCCTGGACAAAACATCTGTGACACTTCCAATTACTTGACAAAATGTCGTAATATTATCGTAATTTTAGAAAACCTCCCCCTTTGCCCCCAACATTCAACGTTGATTGCATTCGTAGAATACGGATAAAACGTCCAACATTGTTTTGGGGTGTGGAGGGGGGCAAACGAGTAAATTATTCCGGTCTAACTGGTAAAAAAGCCACAAAGCAATGTTTTAATAGAGTGTCGCAGATGGTTTTGTCCAGGATTGTAGTTGCCCACGGCATGGCAAACTAAATCGTTGTGACATTTCGTCTTCTACAGAGGCATTATTTATAGTAGCACGGGTTCCTGGACTAGGCCTTTCTTCACTTACGAACTGCACTGAGTCATAAACCCTTCTAACGATTGCTGTTATGGTCGACTCATTTAATTCCACTGGCACTGTGCGTGATGGCCTGTCCGCCATATTTAGACTATTTACATAAGCGCGGTAACCACCGCATGGTTTATAGAATGCTTATAGATCAGTGTTAAGTCAGTGCTTCCACCCCCCAAAAATAATTTCCTTCCCAACTGCTCAAAATTTCAAAAATAATGGTGTTTCTCGGGCCAGAAGGATCATGGACGTTGCAGGGGACAGATTGTCAAAGGGGAATTTTACCTAAATTTATTCGAAGTGGGGGTGTGGGGGGTGTATCACCCCCAAACAAGTTAAAAAAGGGGGCCCAACTTGAGGAGAGGGGCCTTGGTAGGCTGGAATTGCGGAACGTGTTAATTAAATACTAAGGAATTTTCTAGAAAATTCAGGGCACGACCCTGGAAGTAGAAGGACCAGGGGGCCTGAGGTCATCCACCCAGGATAGGATTTTCGACATTTTCTAAAGCGAATTTGCTTGGAAATTGATTTAATCTTAGGATTTATTAGGAATAATGTAATATCCGTCTTATTTCCTCCCTGACAACAAAATTCCTTGCCATTTCCTTGTAAATTTTATTTCCTTGTATATTTCCTTGTACATTTCCTTGGAAAGGCCAAAATTTTCTTTGGCAAGGATATTTTCCTGCAAGTGCAAGCACCAGGTTAAGTAACGGTGATATAAATTAACATAATTTATAATAATTTATGATAAGCCATTACTCATTTGGTCAACGGTATATCATACATTATATAAATGAAATGAATCTTGCCATACATATATGAATGTTGCCATACATATATGAATCTTGACATATATATATATATATATGAATCTTGACATATATATTATGTATATATGAATCTTGCCATACATATATGAATCTTGACATACATATATGAATGTTGACATATATATATGAATCTTGCCATACATACATGAATCTTGCCATATATATATATATATGAATCTTGACATATATATATGAATCTTGACATACATATATGAATCTTAACATACATATATGAATCTTGACATACGTATAAATGAATCTTGACATACATGTATGAATCTTGACATAAATATATGAATCTTGACATAAATATATGAATCTTGACATAAATATATGAATCTTGACATAAATATATGAATCTTGACATAAATATATGAATCTTGACATAAATATATGAATCTTGACATATATATATGAATCTTGATAATAATTTATGATAAGCCATTACTCATTTGGTCAACGGTATATCATACATTATATAAATGAAATGAATCTTGCCATACATATATGAATCTTGCCATACATATATGAATCTTGACATATATATATATATATATATATATATATATATATATATATATATATATATATGAATCTTGACATATATATTATATATATATATGAATCTTGACATATATATATGAATTTTGACATACATATATGAATGTTGACATATATATATATATGAATGTTGACATATATATATATATATGAATCTTGCCATATATATATATGAATCTTGCCATATATATATATGAATCTTGACATACATATATGAATCTTAACATACATATATGAATCTTGACATAAATATATGAATCTTGACATAAATATATGGTTTTCGATACATATATATGAATTAATACATATATATCAAATCTTGATGTTTTGTCCCTTTTTAACAAGCATAAGACATAGAAGTTGTTGAGGGTCCCAACGTAGGGCTTCACTGTGCCAGGTTTCTTATCCTTCTCGAATGTGGTAAGCCACTTGTCTCTCAACACCGCCTTATGCAACAGGCTTGATATTGATGGAGCAGTTGGGGTGATATAACCCATGACCATCTCCACCTGTCGCATACTTTACTGGGCACATTTCGTATATTTTCTTCCACCATCTGGACTAGATAGCCAATCCTTGAAATTGCTTAACAAGACCTTGTCATCAACATTCGATAAAAGATTGGCAGCTGCAGTGCCTCCATCATTATCACCTTCAACATCAACAGAATCTCCAACATTCTCGGTACATCTCTTTTCATTGCCTCCATAACTACCCTTATCACCGCTAACTCCACCACCAAACTCATTAACATCGCTGTCCCCACCACCAAATTTCTCACCTCCACTAACATTGTCTTCACCACCAAACTCACCACCACCACAGTATCCACCATCATATTCGTCACCACCAATGTCTTCATCATCACAGTCAGCACTACCACATTTTCCCTCTCCATCACCACAGTCCCCGCCACCGCATTTGCCCTCATCATAACTCCTATCATCAACATCTTTACCACCTTTCTTGCCACCACCCTTAACAATATTATTAAGGATCCAGTCATATTGCACTGAATCCTCACTATCGTAAACAGTTTCATAAACTTTGCTTGAGCTTGGATTTTTCATTTTCCACTGATCTTCAGACTGGTTCTCGTCACTACTGTTAACTGAAGATTCATGTGAGGATGTCATTTCACAGTCTACCACTGCAGGTTCATACTTTTCCGTCTTTTTCACCAACTTCACAAATCGAGGACTTCTTCCCCTTTTAATTTTGTGCTTTTGTGCAAGATGGTTATGGATCCTTTTTATAATGGAACCACATGATGGCACTGGGCACACCTTTCTCGCATGTTTTCTCTTCTTTTCAGCTGAAAATGGACCTGGTCTTGGGTTCCGCAAGTCAAAGGTTCCTAGCACAGCGGTTGAGTCTACTTTACTCCATCCATGGACCTGCCTCATGTGCCTGGGAAGGTGAACTACACTTGCTTTGCAGGATGGAAACGGACAGTTGTGCTTTGCTCTGGGGCAAAATATTCCAGTCTCTCCAGTATTTCCAATATCCACACTGCTTGCTTCTCCACCATCAACACAACCAGCATTCATTTCTTCACAATCTCCACAACCCTTAGTGCTCACGTTTCCAGCATATTCATTCTCAATTCCATTCCTCTCTGCACTATCCAGGTAGCTAATTGCTCCAACGTCTTCAGTCTCCATAGCATTCATCTCCAGGATACACTCAGTGTTAATATACATATATTTATGCAAACAAATTGTTTTATCTAGTTTACCACCACATCATTTAATACAAACACATCATATTATGCTGTCCAACATCACATTTTATACTAGCCCAGCCTATTCCTTTGATTGTCTTTAGTAAGTTAGCCTATGGTACAGCAGTGCAAGGCAGTCCATAGACGGCAGTGTAAGGCATTATATGGTCTAACACTGTAAGGCAGTCAATTTATACTAAGAAATATTACTGTGAGAAGCAATTTGATATACAGGTATCAGGTGTAGATAAGTATTTTGGTGGGTATATCTAATTTTGTAATTCTGTAAATTTCTACATTCAGATTCAAGCCACCTTTCCCCACTCCTAACGAAATTGGAGCCATGCATTAATGCACCTGAGTTTACAAGTTGAGCTAAATTGTTGCATTCTAAGAAGTGAAAAAGTTTAAGTCCAACATCAGTATTGGGCATTGTGCTATTAACAAAATTATAATGGGCATTGAAATCCCCAAGAAGAATAACAAATGCATTATCATTATTATGTATTAATATTGTCTAAACAGTCTGGAAGTGCACAAAGAAATCATTAATCTGAGATGTGCTAGAATTGGGACCACTATAGCAAACAGCACATAAAATTTTGAACTTATTTAAAATAACTTCTATACCCATAACAACTCCATACCTGGACAATCAAATTCATGTTTCCTTACATATGGTAAATAATCAGCGATATACTTTGCCACACCACCACCCATGCTACCCACGCGGGCTTCCTCAAGGGGCTATTATAGCCAGGAATCATAAGCTGTTCACTTGAAATATTAGCATTGAGCCAAGTTTCCGAAACTGCAAAAAATCAAACAAGTTTGATAAAATTAGTATGCAATATTTTACCTCAATAAAATATTTTTACAAACAAATAAAGAGGGTTAATTACCAGTTATGAAATTAATACATATACAAGGGCAATTTTGAAGTTTTTTAGACATGTATTTGTCAAGAAAACTATACTTTTCTGAAAACTCATTATGTGATGTGATGTCACACCGGTGATATTTGGATATGAAACAAAGTTGAACATCTTAAAAAGGGAGCAAGTTACCAAAATTCTATAAAAGAAATTATTAAGTCATTTAAAGTGATCTTTACAATGCAACCATAAACCTTTGGGGTGAAATTTCATGTCAGAGGCACTTTAATAGCCAAAACATTTGTAAAACAAATAATGCACAAATAATACAGGAATAATTACACAACAGCCAAGCGAAGTCAAAGACAAACAAATTACGACAACTAATCATTAGAAAAATTATGAAAGGAAAGTCAGTAGTCAGCCATAGCCAAATTAGTCAAATTATTTGAAGTCATATCTCAATAAGTCTGAGTCTCTGTGAATTCTGACTGGTGGGCGGTCGGATTTGTCCTTAACCAAAATATAACCATCAGCAGCAAACACAGAAGCTTTCCCTGCGATAGCATCACAGACTTGTTTCAGCAGCTGATTCAACCAAGTTAAATCTTCATTCACGTAAAACTTCTTCGCCTTTAATTTCCGTTTGTTTATCATTATTTTGTTTTTGGATTCATAGCTCTTAAATTTAACTATTAACACCCTCGCACCATCTCTGTTGGGTTTGCCCACATGATGAGCAGATGAACTTGATCGATTTCCTTGTGCTTGACTTGATTGCTGTGTTCATCTCTACAAGACTCAATCACAGTTTTGAAGCAATCTTCCTTTGTGTCATACCTGTAACTATTCAGCCGATGTTGTGGGCATCTGGAAACACTCGGGTCCTATCCCATGTAGGCATATATTCCCATGCTTGTAGGCATATATTCCCATTCTAGTGTGGCCTATTAAATTAATGCAAGGGTGCATAAATTTAAGAAATTGTAGTACGGACAGGACAAAACATAAACAAACACAACAATATGTTACAAACAATACTGTCAAAGCCACAAAGTCGTGAATAGCTTCCTTACATGAGAATATAATTGCTGAATTCTCAACATGGGCATCTGCAAACAGCAATATACTGCATAAAATATACCACACATAAAAACCCTTGGGCCCCAGGCAAAATACACTTCGATCATACCAATTTCCAAAATTATAATATCTGGTTTAATTAAAACTAGAGATCACAGATATATCAGATTTTTCACTTTCTCCACAGTGCGCCTGCCTGTGCCCTGCATGGAAACACAGACACCCGATTCTGCCACGTTAAAATTTTGTTTTGTGCTTGAATCGAAACCCCTATTTAAATCATCATGTAAGTGGCGAACAAATGAATGGCCAAATATCAAAACCTGAGCAATAAAGGCCAACATATTTCTTTAGGATAGTCGTGAAGGAAAACAAAAACAAACACACAATACCTTGATGCAATTGAAATATGAAACTGATGTGAGATCTTGCTCCAATGACAGCTTCAGAGGAATGAATCATGCACAGACAACTTGCACCTATATATGTCCCATGTATTACCATATGATTGCTTCGTGAAGTAAAATCCCACAATGTAACAACTCACTGCATGCAGCTTACCTCATACTGAAATATAAACCTCTCTATTTTTTGCCTCAACAGATGTAATAAAAATGCATATTAGGGTGTGGATCTGCTTAATGGCATTATGATGAAATCTACTTCCAGATGCCATAAACTGTGCAGCAATAAAGACCCATTTTAACCAGCTTTTAAAGGGCAAATGGTACTTTCAGCTGATTGGTTCACTGTCATGAAAAATAATTGAATAAAATAACTTGCTAAAAGCATGAAAACCCACTTTAAAAAGCTTCTTTTTGAATGCCAATCAACAATTCTGTAAGAGTATATATGGTCAATTCTCTGTCTTGGCAAGAGACAACCAGCCCTGAGATCTTTAGCTCCAGCAAACTTAACTCTTGTCATTTGATCCCCATAGCATGGTATTCGGATGCCTACAAGAACATCAGCTGCAGTTGAATCCAGAAAAATGTTCCTTTAAATTTTGTGCAATAATTGTTCTGTATCTTGCTTTCATGCAATCAACTTCTTCGCTAGTTAGCTCAACAACTTTGCTTAAGTCTTTGTCTTTCAATATCTTTTGTGAAACATTGTCAGGCAGATGATCACTTGACACACGGTTGAATACCGGTGTTATAGCTACAGCATGGACACTCTAGTCCCAGCCCTGACTTTATATGAGAATATTGCAGCTTGCAAAGGCTTAAAACAAAAACAATAGTCCTAAGAGCTCATAAACCTGTCCATTAAATGTGTTTTCACTGTCTTATAATTGGCATTTTTTCGACAATATCTACCAAATAAACCCACAAAATGGGGCATCAAAGCATTTGTTTTATGTGAATCTGAAAGTGGTTATTGCCTGAAGTCAAAAATTTATGCAGGAAAAGACTGTTGTTTTGAAAGGGATTCAGATAGTCTACTCTCAGATCATGTGGTGTTAAGTTTGCTTGAAGGTTATGAAAACAAGGGACATTTTGTTTTCATGGATAATTTTTATTCATCCCCTACACTATATGCAAAACTTGAATAAAAAAAGATCGGTGCATTTGGAACAGTTAGAGGTAACAGGCGTAAAATGCCGAAAGAGTTACTCCAACAGAATATAAAGCTAAAGAAGGGAGATGATCCTGTATTTATGCGAAGTAGAAATATGGTTGCCTGTGCTTGGCATGATATCAAGCGTCTCACTATGCTCAGTACCATTGACACAAATTTAACAGTTGACAAGGAAATAAGAAGTAAAGACCATGCCAGTGGGCATAGAACCGTTGTAGCTGTTGCAAGATATAATCACACCTACCAGTACCCACACAAAAGTGTGAAGTGGTACCATACACTATACCACAGAGCAAGAGAAACAGCTCTGGTGAATGCATATATTGTTTACAAAATATTCTTGATCCACAGAGGTTTCGCCAACATGTAATTAACAGTTTATTGCAACACTGGCATTCTAATAGGAAACGAAAAGGTCGGCCAAGCATTACTCCACTTCCTTTGCGAATGACAGGACAACACTTCCATGACAAGTTTGAAAATAAAAAGTACAAACCTGACTGTGAAGTGTGCTCTGATAGAAAAAGAGGTAATCGACGGCAAACAAGTTTTTGTTGCAAGCAGTGCAATGTACCGCTGTGTATTTCACCATGCTTCGAATGCTACCACACTTTGAAACAATACAAAATGTGATAATGGGGAAGATGTATTTATATCCAATACATTGTTCCACTATTGGATTTAAGTAGTTGTTTTTTTCCAAATATTCTACATTTTATGTAATAAAGAATCAATTTTCTATAAGTTAAGTAGTCCAAACACTGACACATATTGCACATATTATTTACCTAAATATGATGTACAGCGATAGCCGCCAGCTCAAATACCAAGTTTCAAAATAACTTGTTTTAAATATTATGATTGTTGTACATTATGTTTTTTTCATGTTTTACACATTTTTGGGAAGTAATACCGAGATAATTGAATTTGTTTCGATATTTTTACAATTTTCATATTTTCTCAGAATTTTGCCCAGACTTTTTAGAATTAAGTGGTCAAATCCTCATATAACAGTTAATATTTTCTGAAAGTTTCAAGTCAACATCTTAAATAGAGTCAAAGTTATTCAAATTTTATGATGCATAACCAAATATTTTTGTTATCTGCTAAAAATAACCGGCGCTGAAGTAAAAATAGCTGACAGCGAAAGAGTAATGAAATAACCAGCACAAAAGAAAGTGTAATCATTGGACCGTTGGAAAATGAAGATACTGAAGGTACAAATGTTCATTTTTTGTGACTGGGCAGCCCTAAATTAGAACATTTAAATCAAACAAATCATTGTCAAATATCCAAATTTTGGATGGCGATGTGGACATATCTGTATTCGAAGGGCTTAATAGTCTTAAGGAATATTTGGAAGTCAGAAATATTTGTATGACAGAATATCCTCAACCATGTTCCGAATGTTCATCGTTGATAGAAATTGGAAATGAAATTAGTACAGAAGGTTATATGAGGTTAAATAAAGCGTTCTCAGTTTCAAATCCTGGGCAGACATACAGAAGTACTCATGCAAAAAGAAAAGTTTTGCAGATTCCATTGGCTGCTATAAAATACCTGCAGAGGATTGTGGCAGTAAAGTAGTTTACTTCGTTGACAAAAATGCAAATTTTGCAGCAGCGAAAGGCCTTTTCAAGCTTCTCCGGCCATGCTCAGTCACACAGCAATGCTCCAAGACTAACAAAGGAAACTGTTAAAGACCTCTTACAGCTGTCAGAGTCTGAGAGACTAACATATGCAATTTCTAAAACATCAGGACTCTCTACTACTAAATTAAGAACTGTATGGTTTTGAAGATGTTAAAAATCGCCAAAAGAATGTTGATATGGCAATTGCAACGGAAATAAGGGAAAGTATTGAATTTATTGCTCATGTAAAGGAGAAAGCTGTTTTACGCTCATTTGGTGTTACAGTTGAAAGTGACAGTGATGATGCGTATGAATCAGAGGAAAGCTGTTCAGATGCAGAATACATCAGTGAGACAGATGTTAGGGAAACCTGTAGTGATTCGAATCAGGACAGCCTATTAACTACCAGGGAATTGGCGACTGGCACATCGTACAACAACAAGGTGTGTGATAGCCAAGGGAGAAAAGCCCATGAATCCATCTTCGTCTATCTGAAGATCCTGATACATATAAGCATGTGTCAGGTTTAGGAGTAACATAAGGATTTTCATAAAAATAAGGATTTTCAACTAAAAAAACAAAAATTTCAAAATTTTCTGTGGGCTTTGCACCCTTACCCTCATTAGCAACTGTGCCCCCAAACACCTGCTGCATCTTGTTTGGCGGTATCACATACCCTCTCGCTCACACCCCGTAAATTTTTGGTACACCCCCTCCCAATAAAAATCTGTCTACGTTTTTACTATAGTATATTAATGAACAACAAAGACTATCAATTAATTCTTACATTAGAAATACCAATACCTTTTAACCATAATGGGAAAATGTCCTGGTAATAGTTCTTGTTCCCAAACTTATTTCAGACCCGTGAAATGGTAAAATTGTTATACCTGTGATTTTTATTATTCAGGTCTGAATCGCCAACTCAAGCATTTGTAGCAACCATCCTATGGCTTTACAGAAAATTTAAAGGGATGAAGAATGAGTTCTCTGATGATGACATCAGGCAGGCAATGTCATCAATTTGCCATGCTTATGACAACATGTGTCACATGGATAGCCTGAAAATTGCCAAAAGAGACTTTCCCTTGCCCAAACCATTTGATGAATGCTGGACGATGATATCAAAAGTGATTGATAGGCTCTGTTTAAGAAATCATGTGGATCCTAAGTGTGAAAGAATGTACAATGCTGATGAAAAAGTCCCACCACAATTTAAAACCATGGCATGTGAACAGACCTTCATTTGGGCCAGTCGTTTTAAGAAAGTTATGTGTGCTATGCCACATGTTCGTCAGTTTTTTTTCCTTCACAGGTTGGTTAATTATGTTCATTTAAAAATTAATTATTGGAAAATGCTACTGCTGTATGACAGTAACACTTTCCCCCCCATCTGTTACAAGTGTATATGAACCCATTTTAATAATTATTTTTGTCATTGCAGGTTGGTTAAGTACCGGAATAGGTACACAGAAAAATACCACCGCTTAGAGAAAGTGCCAATTCTTCCCAAAATTGGAAAATCCAAGGAAAATTAATACTTTTTTCAAGCGAAAAAGCTATAGTACTGAATATTTATTGTGTCAACATAAATGTAAAACATTCATATTCATCATGAAATAATAATATAATCACTGCATGTATGTATATGTATAATCATTGGTACTATATGTATAATCATGCCTGCAGATTTTTTCTTGCTGCATAACTTGCAAATTTCTGAATTGGGTCGAGTCACCAACATGTCATGCTCTTCTCGATGTTCATCTGCTCAGGCCGATTAATGCTTGGCTCTTGCTTTGCTCATGCCCACGCTCGACTTGATATGTCCGCATGAGTTGCGCGTGATTAAACATATCTACAATCCTGGACAAAACATCTGCGACACTTCCAATTATACTTGACAAAATATCGTAAGTTATCGTAAATTTAGAAAACCTCCCCCTTTCCCCCACGATTCAATGTTGATTGGATTCGTAGAACACGGATAAAACGTCCAACATTGTTTTGGGGGGCGGAGGGTGGCAAACGAGTAAATTATTCCGGTCTAACTGGTAAAAAAAGCCACAAAGGAATGTTTTAATAGAGTGTCGCAGATGGTTTTGTCCAGGATTGTCTGTATCTTTCAAATTCAATAACCAAGGCATTGTGCATTAAAAATTGTGTTTTATGCAGGACTTTCTCTTCCCGTAGTAAATATGGCTCACTATAATGTATTAGGCTTCAAGAAGCAAATACCACATGGTCAACAAGGTAATATAATACCCTCATGCAACGCTATGCTTCGATAGCTTGTATAGAATGCGATTATTAAGAATCATATGCGACGACTTTCGCGCATTTAATATACACAGAGAGCAAGTCAATGTACCTAATAGTGTATATACCAACTATTTTGCACTAAGAATATTCTAAAATGCGTTTATCCATACTTATTTGTGTTCTTAGACAGACTAACGCTTAGCTGTTGAGTGGAAATATATTGCGTGACCGCCACACTAAATGACTAATCCGATTTTGTTATTGTCGAATAATAGCACATGCGCATTGACGGTGTACCACGGTACAGCGTGAACATATAAGAATATATATATATATATAACCTTTTGTAGGGTTAAAATGGTACACCGTGGAGTATTTTAAAATTATCGGGCTAAATATTGTCTGAAGTAGGTTGGAATACTAAGCAACAGACGTTCTTTCAAGTCCATTTCATTGGTTTGTATTATATCCCATAACTGAGGATATTATCACAGTCTTAGTGTATTGGTCAGTGGTACACCGTTAGGTATGACATTGGGAAAATATGAGCATTGATTTACAACACCAGGAAAACTTGTGTCAAAATGCATAATTCACAATTATATAGTTGTCGCTTAATATTCTAAATATATGCAGTAAATACCATGCAGAAACGCGGTAACTATATTGAATTTATTTTCCCTTAGTTCTACTGGATACCACACGCATTCGTCTATGTATAGACTGAATGTATAACCTATCAATATATAAGTTGCACAAACTCTTATGGAAATATATTTTTTGTGTCGTACATTGCATCTCATTCACTGATCATTTGCATGTCCGTCTAGGCACCTTCTCACATGGTCGACTATAGGTTGTCTATTGTGTCTTCCAGGTCTTATATATATACAGATAACAAATATGATTCATATATTTCTTAATTTCTGAATTATTGCAACGATATCGACTAGAACACGATAGTTTAACTTTCTGAATTATTTCCGCAACATTTCGTTGCTTTTAATTGCTAAAATTAAAAATAATATACTGTATCGTATGCGATTTTTTCGGCAAAAAGTTTCTACCACACATTATTACCCTTCAAAACACTAAGGTATTCATGACGTATTTAATTAATGAAATAAGGTGCTTGATGTAATTATGAATATAAGTAGGTCATGAGCAATGCGCATAAACAAAATACATGGCAAGGACATGTATAACAAGCGCCGTATAATAGAATGTAATTTCGACTCATGTCAGACAATCCTGGACAAAACATCTGCGACACTTCCAATTATACTTGACAAAATATCGTAAGTTATCGTAAATTTAGAAAACCTCCCCCTTTCCCCCACGATTCAATGTTGATTGGATTCGTAGAACACGGATAAAACGTCGAACATTGTTTTTTTGGGGGGGGGGGCAAACGAGTAAATTATTCCGGTCTAACTGGTAAAAAAAGCCACAAAGGAATGTTTTAATAGAGTGTCGCAGATGGTTTTGTCCAGGATTGTAGCATGTTGCCATTTGAGTGCATTTTGGCGTTCGATTTTGGCGGAATGAATCTGAAATTCAATAAATATGAGCTGTAGAATTATATTAGACTATAGCAACCAGCAGGGATGAGTAAACTATTAGTTTTTTCTTCTGCAATTGGCTGTGTTGTGTGAAGAATTTCCCCCCCCCCCGGAACACCCATTTCTTTAGCAGTGCAAATGTGTATGCGCTTTCAAGCTGTGGAACACGATGGTGTGACGATGCTATGAAGGAGCGACACTGCCGACAGTATTGTTTTCAAATTATAAACATTTTTATAGACGTGAATATCAAGTAAATCTTTGAAAATCTTCGCAATATATAAATTGATGTATGACTTATGCATTACGGGCATTCAATTAAGTACCAATATTATTTAGACGGTATATTCAATTTCAATATACAAAGCTAGGAAGCAGCGAGACAGTGTTGTTTTGTCTTTTGAAATGTATGAACATTTCAGGCATGAATATTGAGAAAATCTTCGAAATTCTACGCAATATATAAATTGATGTTTTGTATTACTTTATTTAAAGTCATACTGCGCAACAAAATGTGCGAGTTTACAACATTGACCGATTCTTATATAGTATATACATTTGATACAATTTTAAATAAATTTAAAAAGACACCTGTTTATAAAACTACTCTTAAAACGCTCAGTGCGTATACGTGGTAAAATGTAATTATGTCCACGGTTTCGCAATTGCCTTGTTCTTTCTGGTGGAAGCAAGTCATATTGGCAATGGTTCGAATTATCCGTGATAGATTTCCATAATTTCATGTCTCTATCGTTAATTATGTCATTAATAATTAAGGCTTTTGTCGTGTATCCATAGCGTACTGCTCGTTTAAAAAAATTATCTATTCGACTTAGATATTTGCTTTGAAATGCTCCCCACACTTCAATAGCGTAGAAGAAAAGTGAAACTATAAGACTGTTGAATAGCATTTCTAGATCTTTCATTGGGAAACCATAAAATTTGATAAAATTCGGAATGTACATATGTGAACCAGCTTTCTGAAGCAAGGAGTCTATGTGTGTGTCCCAGTTGCATGGATTTTCATTCAAAGTTACACCAAACAGTTTAAGTTCATTCTTTATTTAAATTCCTGATATCGGTAAAGGAAGGGATTTGTTGGTTTTCCCTCGTACTACCATTTCCCAGGTTTTTTCTAAGTTTAAGGACATGCTGTTTTCAAACGACCATTTCTGAATATTAGCAATCTCATCAGATGAAGGATCGAACCCATTTGCTTTAACCGGGACACTCAGAGTCAAGTCATCTGCGAACTTAGTCATCAAACTCTTCTCCTCATAAATAGTACCAATATTATTAACCATTATACTGAATAGCACATGACCAAGAACTGATCCTTGTGGAACACCTCTGTTAATATTTACATATTCTGTTGTTATCCCATCCACCGTAACTCTTTGTCTTCTATCTGAAAGAAAATCGATAATCCAATTGATGATGTAGGGATTTACTTTCAGTGCTTTAAGTTTCTCAGATAAAATGTAATGTGAGACATAATCAAAGGTAAAGACCTGAACAAAATCAGCATCGCCATCCAGCCACTCTAACCAATTGTGGTAGCACTTAATTAATGCCATAGTGCAATTTTGACCCCGTTTGTAGGCAAATTGGTCAGCTCCTATTTCCAAGCTCAAGGGAACAGATAATTCTTGCTTGAAGACAATTCTTTCGAATACTCTCATTATAATGTTTGTTAACGATATAGGCCTGAGCTGGTTCACTTCCTCAAGAGGAGATTTAGGAATAGGAACGACATTAGCTAATTTCCATAGAGATGGGACTATCTGTTCTCTTATCGAGGTGTTGAAGATATTGGTAACAACAGGAGCTAAATAGTTTGCATAGTCTCTCCAAAACCAAAATGGCAAACAATCGGGGCCAAATGATGTACATTTTAGATGTGACAGTACATGTTTTACTAAGTCGATCTCAACTTCAGGAACGTGAACTGTGTCAGGAATTTGTAAACGTTCAGGAGTAATATAATTAGGATCAGTATTGATCTCTTTAAAATAGTCATTAATCACTTCTGCATTGACAATAGCACTGATTTGAACATCTTGTTTATTTCTACCTGATATTCTGTTAGCTGTATCCCACCATGCTTTAGATCCTTTCTTATATTTCCTATTCTCGCAACGGACGGCATTTAATTGATTTGTACGAATAAGTTTGTTAATTCGTTCTTGAAGAATAGCATTTTCATGACTGTCATTATACTTATCTCTATTCTTATTCCTTATTTTGCATAGATGTTTGACTAGCGAAGTTATGTAAGGGGGGTCACGTGACGACATTTTGATTGAGATCAAAGGAAAGCACTCATCAAACATATTACCTAAAATGTCATTAAGCTTTTGAACATTTTCAGATGGATTTTGACAATCAAAGAACATATCCCATTCCAAGTCTTGTAACTTCCTGTCCATTTGCACCTTTCTGTGCTCACACATGGTTTATACAGATTTTGTTTAGACGCATATCTAGTATTGTAATTGTGAATATTGCTTGCTTATTGAAAAATGCATTAAATAAATTTGGCAAAAGTCCTTTATGCCATAGATGAATAAATTTAAGGGCATGTAGGGAGTAGACATTATTTACTGTTAAAATATCTAGAAGATTTAGCAAGGGGAGAGCGCTTTCAGTGTGTTTTCCATAATTCACTGCATTAAAGATTATTCTTACAACTTTATTTTGTTTTATTCGTACTTTGTTAATATGACATTTATATGCACTTCCCCAAGCTAAGATTGAATACGATATAAAAGGATATATAAGGTTGTAATATAGTTGCCGGAGCTGTTTAATGGAAAGATAGTGCCTCAATTTGGAGAGAATTCCAATGTTTCGTGATATTTGTGAACAAATGTATGAAATGTGATATTTCCATGATAGCGAAGTATCAATCATAACCCCTAGGTATTTGATATGATCTTTCCGGTCCAAGGAGTGGCATGATCCTTCCCTTGTCTTAATGTGTATATCAATGCTCATGCCTTTTTTCTTTGGTGACTTAATTATCATAAAATTTGTTTTGGACATGTTTATTGATAGTTTATTGACGTCACACCATTCTTTGATCTTTTCTAATTCCGAATTCATAAGGATTTCTAGTGATTTTAAGTCACTTGCAGAAGCAAATACATTTGTATCATTCGCAAATATCTTAAATTCCAGTTTTTCAGAACAATTTGGTAAATCATTTATGTAAATTTAAAATAGTAATGGTCCCAATGTGCTACCTTGAGGGATTCCACAGATCATTGTTTGCTTTGGAGATTCATGTTCCCCTAGTTTTACATATTGTTGGCGATTTGAAAGATAACTATTGCACAATTGCAAAGGAAGTCGCCGAATTCCATACGATTCTAACTTACTGATGAGTATCTCGTGATTTACGGTGTCAAAAGCTTTGGAAAAATCAAGAAACACTCCACAAGTATACAATTTATTGTCTATGGTTTTTCTAAGGTTTTCGGTAATTTCGGTTATTGCTGGGGCAGTAGAACGACCTTTCCGAAAACCAAATTGAAATTGAAAAAGAATATCTTTCTTTTCAATATATCGGATAAGTTGTTTATATATTATTTTTTCAAATATTTGTGTTATAGTCGATAGCATTGATATTGGACGAAAATTTGCAGGGTCAGTAATCTCTCCGCCTTTATCAACAGGTGTTACTTTTAAAATATCAGGGACAATACCTTGAAGCAAGCATTGATTAAATATTGTCGTCAGTGTTTCGCTAATATATTCGCATGCCAGTTTTATACATTTTTGAGGTATTCCAATTGACGATTATTAAGCTTTAATCCCATAATGGCATCATGCACTTCATGTGTATAAATAGCGCGAAACCAGAAGCTATCTTGAAAAGTTTGATTAATGTAATTTCTAGGATTAATAGGTCTTTTTGGGAGTTTCTCAGCCAGATCATGGCCGACATTTATATAATGAGTGTTTAATTGGTGAGCGATATTTGCTTTATCTGTATAAGACTTGTTCTTATATAATAATTTAGTTATTGTTTGCAAACTTTTTTTCCCCTGTTTATTATCATGCCAATCAACTTCCACGTTGCCTTTAAATTTTGACTGTTCATGTTGAATTGCGCTGCAAAATAATTTTTTTAGCTACTTCTTGAATCTTATTTAGTGTATTATTGTATTTTTTGTATTGTCTTATTTTTTCCAGATCATTACTTACAAAATGGGTTTTAAAGAGTTTTTGTTTTCTTTTAATTGATTTAAGGATAGCGTTTGATATCCATGGTTTGTTTAATTGTCTCTTTTTTTTATTAGATACTTTACGAAACGGTGCATGTTTGTCAGATATTCCCTGAAGTGTGTTTATCATGTCATGCATGCTTTCATTGACATCACTTTTATATTTTATTTATATTTCTGATATCATTTAAGAATAGATCACTATCAAAATTTTTGAAGTCTCGATAAAAATGGGTATCCTTATTGATAGGAAGTTTATTAGAAATTGTGCAAAACACAGGGAGGTGGTCTGAAATATCTGCTAAGCATATCCCGGCTTTCAGAACCTTTTGAGGCGTATTTGTATAGATATGGTCTATAAGGGTAGAGGTATGGTGTGTGATACTGGTAGCCTTGGTAATTAAAGGCATAAGCCCTTGGTCAAGCAGCATATCAACATATTCAGATGTTTGGTTATCGTTATTGTATTTTAAAAAATATATCATTATGTCTCCTAATATGATTACTTCTCCACCCTTATTGTTTAATTTAATCATCATATCTTTGAGCATATCCGAACATTGCACGATCATGAGAAGGGTGGTGATAAATGCAACCGATTACAATATTTTTTTTCCCTTTTGCGGGTAATTTCAATCCAACAAGATTCAACGCCATCAGCTATTAACTCTAAATCATGTCGTCTATTGAATTCTAACCATTAGCAATGTAAAATCCAACTCCCCCAGCAGACGTTTTGGAGTTTGTATTTATAAATACATATCCAGGTATGCTAATGTTGTTTACACTGTTTTCTGTTAGTTTTGTTTCTGTAATAGCGATTATATCTGGAACTTCTTTAACAAAATAAAGTAGATCTTTTAGCAAAGGCAAATTTTTTGGGAGGCTACACATGTTAAAATGCGCCATTGAAAACCCATGTTGTTTTTTTGCTTTATCAAAGAGATTTCCAGTTTGCTTAATAGAATGATATTTTGATTCAATATAGTTTTCATGTAAATTATTATGAAAATCGTCTTTTCTATCCGGATTTTCGATTATATCTTTGAAAAGATCTTTGGATTCAAGAAGGGGACTTAAAGAATGTACCCAAGCCCCTGTTGTCCTAAGAAAGTCTTCAGTATTTAGATCATAGAATGGTAATTCATCAAGGAAATTTTGGTCTAAAGCCATATCTAAATTGTACTAGATTTACAATTGAATTAGTCTGTTAAATGTATGCATACATCTATATATACATAATACCTCAAGCCTAACGGCAATGCCTATTTTGAAAGTTCACCAGGTCTTCTTCGGTATCAATGATATTTATGGCATCTTCTGCATTTTCGCCCCCTCCTTGATGTAGATTCTAGCATTGTTTGTCCATATATACTTCCATTTCATACGTTTTCTGGGCTTGTTAACACTAGCAAAGAGCCTTTTCTTGTATGGTGTAAGCGATTCAGAGACATAAATATTGTCGGTGGACTGAAGTTGTAAATCTGGAAGGTCTTTGACTTTCTTTTTGGCTAATTTCCTACGATTTGAGTAGAATTTATTCCTGACTTCCCTTTGCGTAAATTTCACTATGATCTTAGGCGGAGCATCTCGATTATAAGATGGTATGGGATGTGCAATTGAGATATCATTTTGTAAGACAGCGACGCCAATGGCTTTCACAACAGATTTCACAATAGCTTCAGCAGAGCATGTGTTTGTTGCTTTTGGGCCAGATATTTCAAGGCAGTCTCTTCTCAAGTATTGTGCAAGTTCTTCGGCTTGGATGCCAGCATTCACAGCACATGTGTTGACATCACTGAGGTATTTTTTGATGTTTGCTATGTCTTGATTGCAGCGTTGTGTTTTATCGTTTATTGACCAAAATTGTAATAACAGGTCATCATATTTAGCGGACAAGAATTCAACTGTTTTATTTAAATCTTGGAAAGTAGACATCATCATCTCTAGCCTACTATGAATTGGTGCTAATTCTTGAGGTTTTTAACCTCAATAATCGTTGCCATTTTAGCTTGAACCCTGGTGGAGCGAAAAAAGCATGTCCGTCTTCGTCAAGGGTCAGGTCAATCTTCGCACACTCTCACAATGCAATTCTATTTTCTATATTAAATAAATAACACATGTACTTGTTAAGACTAAAATACTCAGAGTATGCACATAAACATGACATTGGCACACTTAGCATTTTGTTCTCGTTCAGAGGCTAAATTTTGATCTGCAGTTAACCCATTCTCGTACCCCACAACCATTGTTGTGCTCTGTTGACTGTGTGTAAGACGGGCGTAATGTGGCACATGCCTGTTTTCTAAAAGTTCACTCACACTCAAAGAGTGGAGATTTGTGTCATGACTTAGTCTGTGACTACTAATTCTTCAGCTATTCAAAAACAGCACTGACACTCAAGAGAAGCTCAGATTAAACCTCCAATCTTTGATTGTGAGTGAACTTACAGAATACAGGTGATATAGTCTAGCTCCATTTAAAGATTGGCTACCTCCACAAAAATAAAATCTACAGGTATGCTTTAGGAATACTATTTCAAGCCCTGTTGTTCTTGCATGCATTTTTATATATTTTGCAAAAAAAACATCTATTGCTTTATCAGATCATTGGGGAGCAAAACAGCTCAGGGTGAATTGACTTGGGGGCGAAACAACTTTGATACCTATTGAATGACTTGTGGGCAAAACGTCTTGGGGCAAATCGACTTGGGGCACTTTCCATTAAACATGGTCAAACTGGACAGAACAGTCAAATTGTTGAATGGAACACAAGACGTTTGGGCTTCAAACCTATCTGACCAGAAAATTTAGATAGAATTGGAATGAGGTCCAAATTCGCTAGATATTTGAGAAACATAGACCAAATTGTTCCATTGATACAGAGAAAGGAATTTGGGTCTGACCAGTTTAAATGGAAAGTGCTCTTGGTACCACCACACTATTAAAACATCAAAAGACTTCTGTATATATGTACTGTATTGTGTGGTATTGGAGAAGGGCCAAAGTCTATATGTTGATTGTCAGTTTATATCACTATAATATCACTAATTCAAAGCACAATATATTGAATATTTATAGCTCTTACATTTCCTGTTGTTTCAATGACTTGCCCTTGTGCCCCTCTCTCCAGAAGTGTTCAGCCTTTCTTCTGTTCTCATCCGCCCGATTCTTTTCAGCTTCAAGCTTCTCCACAAATTTCCCATTTACTTGTCGTAGATTACTCCTAAATTTCTCGCTTAATTTTCTCTTTAACGCTTTTGTTGATAGCTTTCTCTCTTCATGATGATTTTTTCTCCGTCTCTTGCTCCTTTTCCTTCGAATTTCCTCTATGGTATTTGGTCTTGACAACTGACTGTGCTTGGTGACACTTGCCTGACTTAGGTGATCACACACCTCATATTTTTGCCTTTCTTGCTGCAATTCACCGTAAAATGTGCCATTTCAGTCAGTTTTGCAGCACGATGAACAAAAAGAGTAAAATTTTGTTTAACTCTGGATGTTTTTAGCAAAGCTTGAAGAATGAATTTACCGCATAAATTACGGTCACCACTTGTTTCCATCTCAAACTGACGTGACATCATTTTATCACTATATTACTAGTAAAATATAGCTCAGTGCCTTTAAAATAAATTTTAATTATATAAACCCAGAGATTAACCCTAAAACAAACCCTGACCCTACTCTTTTACCCTATCCATATCCATACGCAAACCAAATTAAACCAAATTGTTTACCTTAAAGCTCACTAGATGAGGTGTGCAACGTCAGTTTGGTAGGATGGAAACAAGTGATCAACCGGTAGGTCCTGCAATCAAATGATTACATGAAGTAATGGACCTGTTGCTCGCAAATATATGACAATATATGGCAAATCTGTGGCGAAAAGTTTGCTTAAAATTGTTCATTAATGCAGTATTTTATACGCTAAAGTGTTTCTCAATATTATTAAAGCGTTCTTGGGTCTTATGCAGGGATATTTACAATGCAGAGAGAAAACATACAGTATACGCCATAGCCTAAGGGCATAAATATACCCCCACAGCGAGATTTGACCACCATTTGACGCATCTGAGTGGCTGATTTTCATCATTTGGATTATTCTGCACGCCAAAACTGCCAACAGTGCAACGAACATAACGAACCTTCGACCTTGGCAGCTTGGGCAGTACCGTGCGAAATATTTAGATTTTCTTTGTTTACTAATTTATTCAAATGCCTGATGTTTCCCTGAGCGATCAGTAGATGCTACTTCTAAATGATGTAGTAAAAGAGAACAAAGCACTGAGGGATAAAGTTGATCAAAATATAGCAATGGAGCAAAACACTATGAGAGATTTGGCCAACAAGATCAACAATCTAGATGGCAAAATTGTGAGCTTAGGTGAACGAAGGGGGCAAGTGAAGGCAAACTGGCAGTGGAAGAATACCAGTCCCTAAAATGTGCAGTGTAAGTATATTATATATTTTCAATTTTGTTCGCCAGACGTTGTCCCCAATGTGTGCAAAATTAATGTTTACATCACCTCCCCTGGACTTGCAGAGCATGAAATCTGCATGCATATGTGTGTCTCAATATATTGAGTTTAAAATTGCAGGTAAAAAACGATGGGTTAGAAAAAACTTAAATTCCTATAAAATGAGTGTAACAGATTATCTAGTTTGTGCACTTGATTTGTGCTTGATTGTAAATTTTTATGTATACAGTCAGACAGAAAGCACTAGGTATATTATATACATGCCGGTACAAGGTTACAATATTCTGTCTCCTATCATATTTATATTTCAATTGCTGCCAGGCATGCTGGTCAAGGTTCACTAAAGTTGCATTTGAACCATTTGAGACATTTGAATGTATATTGAATATTAAATATATAATTTAGAATGATGTTTGTCGTAATCTTAAAGTCCCGACTCAGTCAGCAGAGCAATTTTCTCTACAAATAAATGGAAGGTAAATAAACTAGTATTACTACTATGGTACTAGATACAACAATCTCGTTCCCTGAGCCTGCGATCCTCAGCTCTGGGATAATCTGTTGCTAGAAGCCAAAAATTCTGGCTAAGATTGAACTACCCATTCCATTTCAACAACCAATCAGATTCCTCTCAGGAGTGGATTATCCCAGAGCCTCGCATTCCTTCCCGAGGATTGCAGGCTTGTGGAACGAGATTGTAGATACAACTAAACAAGTATACAGGGTGTATAAATTTGCAAAACAGCTATTAGTATCCAGTTTTTGATGTATATAGCTTCTTTGGGTATTTATAATGTAGAAAAATGGAAAAAATTACTCAAACTCAAATTTTGTAAACCGGGGGGGGGGTGTCTTTTCCAACAAACTAAAAATGGCTTGTGCACGAAATTTAAAAGCTTTAATCATATTTTGAGTTGATAGATGGAACATTTGTTGGTTTTTTAATTACTGTACAAAATTTCAGAGAATTTGCTTTAGTTTAAGCCCCTCAACTATTCATTTTTCTCTAAAAAATTAGCCTAAAGGAACTATTCATTTTTCTCTAAAAAATTAGCCTTTCGCATGCTTAATTAATGCCTTTACCTAATTTGCACATTACTGACATATGCAAATTAGGCAAAGGCATTAATTAGCATGCAAATGGTGATTTTTTAAGAAATAATGTAAGTTTGCGTGAATGGTTAAAGGGCGTAAACTGAAGCAAATTGTCTGAAATTTTGTACGTTAATTAAACGCCCAACAAAATTTCCATCTATTAACTTAAAATATGATTAAAGCTTTTAAATTTTGTGCGCAAGCCATTTTTAGTTTGTTGGAAAAGACACACACACCCCCTGGTTCACAAAATTTGAGTTTGAGAAATTTTTCAATTTTTCTACATTATAAGTACCCAAAGAAGCAACATACATCAAAAAACTGGATACTAATAGCTGTTTTGTGAATTTAAGAGCAAATTTCAAAATATGTGCAGTTTTTTTTTATACACCCTGTATAACATTAACATATAGTGAGTACGGCTGCACGCAGAGCTTTTTTGGGCCCATAACAAAAGTCCCTTTTGGGAGTATTTGGGCCGCTTCCTAGTTCCTTAAAATTTCCTGCCTACTCCCCAGCCCTTCTGGGCAATCTTCATGCAAATGAGTAGTCATCTGATGCTTACTTGTTTGCCTCCCTAATTAATGGGGATATTTTAATTAAGGGTGAGTAAGTACTGATCCCGGTATGGCCAAATTTTTTTTACTCACATAAAACATCATTCTACAATATTTAACAAAAAACCAAATTCCAGAATTTGAATGCTAAAGGAGAGGAAATTACTAGGGCCTGTTTATATTGGAAAACGGGTTGGCCTGCTTAGCCAGACAGCCTGGTACTTTGCAGTGGCATCTTTGAACTTTCATTCTGGAAACCAGGCTAGCCCGCTTGTGAGTGTTTATGTTGGATATATGGAGAAATGTCCATCCCGGTAATCGTGATCTTGCCTCTTTCAACCAGACCAGCCTGCTTGTTCATATAAACGCACAAAAATTCATAAATAAGTCTTGCTAAGTGACCAGCCTAGCTTCCATACTGTATAAACAGTCATGACAACCCACACAAACTATAAATTGAATTATCTTAAAGGTGTTGGTTACCATAGCATTAGTCAAGGTGATAAGAGTTATGACATGTGTAATGATCTATAGTGAAATAATTTATGCGTGCATGAAATTTGACCCCATATAGATATGTAGCAAATAACTGAGCTAATATACAAACCAGGTTGTCATCACCAATTCATAATAATGTTAGCAGACAATGCCGTGCAAAGTTCAAATTGTGCCAAAATCTGGTCTGAAGAAAGAGTGCATTCCACTTGATAATCGTGTGTATAGATTCAGGATAGAGATCAAGATATTTTGATGGCTGCTTATTAAAGACTGATGCAAAGTATTTTCAATCAGTTCGGTCAGGTATAGTAAAAAAGCTGTAGGTATCATACCACTTAATCAGTTATTATTTGCTTTAGTATACAGTATGCTAGATATGCCGAGTACCACAGTTTTCAAGCAGGGCTATCACAACCACAAGTTGATTGTAATATATTCGATTCATTACAATATACTCATTTCTATATTGATACATATGGCAGCACAAGACAAATAATATTTATTTACATATATATACTGTGGCTGGTATAATACAAGAACCTTATATTACTAGAAATACATGCATGCAACAACCCCTCGCCTATATTTTCCAAACATTGTTTCAACATGAAGTATTCGTAACTATGCTAACACTGAACGCAGGCTCACGTTGCATGTCATGTTAGTCATGGCAACACGATAATGGTTTTTTAATTTTTTCTACAAACCGGGAAAAAATAGATGAAATTTGAACACTTTTAAATACAGAACTATCAATTTCTAAAATATATAAAGTAGGTATAATATTTTCGTTTGTATGGGCTTTATTTTAATGTAAAATTCAAAATGAAACTCTACGTAAAACGTTTTTAAATGTGAATTGAAATTAACTGCTTTTTGCCGATATTTATAAACTTCTCAACTCGAGCTTCAACTTATTACTCGCACTTTGAAATGAAACAAATTTAATTCGTACAAGACGTTAATGAAAATAATTTGCTTTACTTTTTATCATGAACTTGTACAAAAGTTAATTTAACTAAGAAACTTTCGCAAACAATGCATAGGAAAGACTTGAACATCAAGAACAAAGTATATATTTATATTAAATACAAAGTCATACATAAACAATTGAAACAAACGTGCCCTATACTTTAGGATTTATCATACAATATCAATTATTATCAATGTTTACGTTTAAAAATTGGAAAAAAGTGGTACAATTTGTTATGTGAAACGATTTTCCAAGCTTTCTTACATGTATTTTTTATATTTTTGCCTTCTTCACTCCTGGCAAACAGCCATATTTTGAGATCAGTGAGATGACCACCGATACACCATCGCCCGCGATATTTGATGAACTTTAGACTTCGCTTGTGTGTTCCTATCCCCATGTGTAAATAGCCGGGGAAGGATTAGTACCCTCGCACGGCGCTTCGCACCGTCGGCTCAGAGATTAATTTTTTCTTTGCATGATAGCGTAGTGTGGAAAGCAAATTATCTATAAGCGCATTAACATATACTCTTAGTAATTATGAGTATTTCTATCATACTGTATATAGTGGAAACTCGTGTGCCAGAAAGACATCCCATCTTTTGCTGGCAGGTTATGAAAAAGTCTCATCTTTTCTTAACCAGTAGAAGCTTAAAAAAGTCCTATATTATTCTTTACATCACGCTATAAGCTATACAGTAAAGCGGTGCAAAGTTAGAGTAAGGCGGTGCAGCTTGCGCTAGGTTTTGGAATAATATCTAGAACACTTTTAGTGAAAACTCTTGTGTCAGAAAGATGTTGAATTGCAGCTCCATTAAATCAATTATGAAACAAATATAGCACATTGTATTCTATTGCGCTGATGAGCTATAAAATGCTTCAAGATTAGACACTGCATAGGTTGCATCCAACAAAGCTCAAGGATATGACGCATTTGACGAAAGTCCTTTGCAGCTGCATGGCAGTTTAAATTGTTACAAAATGTCGAGCCCTGCTCAATGCAATATGGATACAGGACACTTAAACATGTTTATACTTGAATCATTGATTACAGCTATGAACTAGGCCGGGGAATACGTTTTTCAGGCCCTTTTCAGGGGGGAGTTATTAGAGATGGCACTTACAAAGGCAGGGATTTTTTGGGGAGGGGATTATGATTTTTGTATCTGCGAAGCAGATATATTGCTATTGCAAACGTACCATGACTGTACTGTATGTTAACACATAGCCATTCATCGATGAGCTTATACAGGGTGTATAAAAAAAAGGTAATCAAACTTCAGCATGCTACTGTATCTGAATTACTCTGCGTATGAACGAGATTTTTTCACATTCGGAAAGATCATGCTTTTAGCTGTTGAATGATGTCTTCTTTATGCCAAATGGATAAAAAATGAGCAAATACGAATCCGATAAAAAATTTTAGTCAGAATCGCATATTTTCACCGTTGAGAGTTGGGTCTAAAACCATTGAAAATGAACTCCCTTTAGGACTTAAGTTGATGAATTTCACTTCATTAAACTGCACACATATTCATAATTATTATTAAGTAGGAATAAATCTTAGCACAACACGGTCATGATTAATTGCTTTTTCTTTTGTTATGCATTGTTTTAATTAGGCACAGAGGTGAAAATATGCGATTTTGACTAACGTCCTTAATCGGCCTCGTACATGCTTATTTGTTCCCCAATTGGCATGAAACGCATGTCATTCAATAACTAAAAGCCTGATCTTTCCGAATATGAAAACCAATTGCTCATACGCTGAGTAATTCACGTATAATAGCGCGCTGAAGTTCGATTACCTTTTTTTTATACACCTTGTATAATTTTAATTATATTCGCCAATCAGCGATTAGCTTACATTGTGCACCACACACCTGCGAATGGGCACAGATGAGGAGCTGATGGCCTCATGTTTTCTTGTGTTTGCAATTTTGGATTGCTGTCTTATTTTCTCGCCATTCTACTTGCAAAGTTACCGTTATCTATCAAGACGGAAACTTTATATCCTCATCTGGTAATTAGTCAATCTCTTCGGACATCAAAACAATCTCTTTGGAGATCAAAAAAACAATCTCTTCAGAGACCAAATAAATCTCTTTTGAGACCAAATGAAACTCTTCGGAGATCAGAACAAGCTCTTCTGAAATGATTAACGAAATCTAAAGTAATTACATATAGCGAGCAAAATACATATAGCATTGTACATTTATACCATACTCATAGACATAGTAGCTGTATTAAGTGTATACATTCAGATCACTGTGCATGTAGTTGCAGATCGAAGTAACGAAGGCTTTGTTTACATACGGACTGTAGATCACCTTTAAGAATAAAATAAAGGATTCCAGTGATAGCAATTTATTATGTTTTGACTGATAAGTCCCTGAGAGTGAAACCGATAAGTCATAACCAAAGTCCAATATCCATGCTCAAAGGAAATTATACACTATTGTCAATACAGTGCTTCATTTATTAGTGCTAAATAGTTACTAAAGGCCATGTTACACGGTGCAATTTTTCTTGCAACTTGCAATGCAATTCTACTCTTGAGAGATGTTAATTAGTGAAATCAGTGAAGAATTTTCGATATGATGGGAAAACATTAGCGGAGTATAATGAAGACTCGTATTTGGCAATTTTACATCTCTCAAGAGTAGATTTGCATTGCAAGTTGCACGAAAAATTGCACCGTGTAACATGGCCTTAAGTGTACTTCGTTGTTTAATTATGTTTATTGTTTTTGAAACCAATATTAATTTTAATAGAAATTTTACTTTTTGCTCTTTATTTCGGAGAGTCTTCAGGGTCGAACTTTCCTTGTCTGGATTGGTTCTTAAAATGGCTGGTAAATGCGTTTTACTCCATTCTTTCCTCAGATCTTCGAGCGGAAGGGAATGGAGTGGAACTGAATTACCATAAATAAATATTTCCTGATTAACTCTGTCCCTTTTATTTTGGTCTTGATGCGTTTCGTTAAATTTTCCACCAAATCTTTTTTCAGACACATCTTTAGCAAGTTTCCCAAATTGTTCTGTATCTGATTGAGATCTGGACATAACAAGGCAAATTTCGATGATTTCAACCAAATCCGGTATACCTTCATGTAAGCCATGTTCCGTTTTTTGAAAGCAGCATAAAACATTAGAGGTATTCCATGTAATCTGATGTGCTTCGTTTTGAACAAACCAAAAATTCTTGAATCTCTCCTTGTTATCCCGGACTCTTTCTTTAAAAGCTATGTACTGGTCAAGAAAGCATGAGCAATCTATCCCAGAACATACTTCACAGCAGCGGTGTCATGGAAATGAAAGGTTACCTCTGTTTAGACGTTTAGCAAATGAAATAAATTCATTGTTATTTTGTTCACGCAGACTTTCAGAGCTGTGGTAATCAAGCGACTTGACATCAAACATCTTTATTACATTTTCTTCCTGTTCGCCCATCGCCAAAAATATTGGAGCTTCTCGTAATATTGCTGACGTTAATTGCTTCAATCTATCTTCAGTTGTTCTGATGATGTCATCTGGTGTCAACGGTTGTGGACGATGTCGTACCCGAGGTTGGAATTGAACATCATGTTGTAAAATGTTGACTTGCTGATTGGGTTTACTAAAATTTGGAGTAAAATTCCCTTTTTGGATACTTGGGTATTGTAAATGCAGCCGTCTGTTCAAGGGATTTTCCAGAACGGGCATTTCATTCATTTTTGTTATGTTTCCAATAAATTTATCTACATTGGCTTTGTCATCCCATAATGGATACAGATCAGACTGTGCAGCTTCACTTGTGAATGCGGACTGACTAAATACGTCGGCGAGTATAAGTAAGGTTGATAGAAAAAGCGGACTCACTAAATTCTTCAAGTGACCACAAATTCTGTTATATCTCCCTCAGCAGCTTGTTCTTGCCAGAGTAGTTCCAATACATAAGCATTAGTTAAAACAGCATCAACTGAGCCAACCAAGTAACATATAAATCTTGTCTCCACCAGCCTACACCTCTTGTGTCACTGGTATGATCGGCCAAGGGAATATTTCCAAGACTGATTGTGTAATCTGGTACAGGATCTTCATGTCGAGAAAATCAAAAATGACACTTTGATTTCCATTCACACAGACTGGTTCTCCATTAAGATCCACGATTCTGAGATTAACTACTTGACGTGTAATATGTTCAACTGTTACTTTGTCTATTAATAGATGGCAGTGCCAAAGACAGCCAGTTGAAGGGTTCGGTGAATGAATGAATTGCACCACTGGCTATAGCCATATCAGTTAGGTGTCGGTTTACCACCACCACTCCTTGAAGATGGTGCAGTTATGTCATGAATGGATATATGGTACATGGCACTGTATTAGTCCAAAACATCACAAAAGGAACCTTTCTGTAACTGCTGTCTCTTTCTTTTGAGCAACTTGAGAGGAAAATAAGATAGCATTCCTTTTTCTTTGTTCTTCTGCTGACTTGCTGCTTTTGAGATTCTGACTGTTCATGATTTTTAACTCTTTGCGCATGATGATCGCTATCAAGCACAACAAAACAATCAAGCCAATTCTGCATGCAGGAGTAACCACAAAGCGAACATATTTGTAAAGAATGGTGCTGGCATAGACAACATGCACCTAACGGTGCATTTGGTGGTGACCGGAGCTTTATTTGTAGCCAAGGATACGTCATTTGCAACTGAACCAATGACTGTGGGCTGTTATCGACGATGGTAGCCACATTATCGGCCTTGTCTAAGCGCTGATCTATTTCAGAAAGTTTGCTCTCAAGAACCGATTTTGCATCTACAAGAACAATTTTCATGTCCCTCATTAATTTTGATTTTTTGAATGGCAGTGTGTAAAGATGCAACAGCTTCTTGCAGTGAGTGAATGTCTTGACTCGATGACGATGCTGTCGCTTGTGGTTGAAGTGGTTCTGTAACTGTAAGAGGGTCGGTAAATTGTTCATCAGTGTCAGCAGTGACACTGGCTATTGGCTATTTGGGTATGCAGTGTTTCCTGTGGAGCTGCTGAGCTTTGCGATCTTGTTGAACCACTGGTACTGGCAACTTGATCTTGGATCAATGTCATGTTTCTCAACTGTGAATCCATAGGCATGGCAACTTGAATAACTTCATTATTTTCAACATGGAGGAGATTTCCTCCTGGGAGAAAATTGTTTCTGGGAGAGAATTGCTTCGGACGATTTCAAAAATTTTATTTAGCACAACGATGTTATTAATTTTATGTCTTCCCAATTTCAAATGACTTTAAGTTATCGAGCCGAACATTTCGATAGGCACAATTTATCAAAGGACTTATATTAACATTTTATTGTTAATTTCGGTGTTATATAATTTTCTTTTTACTATATTCCTCCGAGATATTCACTTAAATTTAATAGGAATACGACAATTCTCGTTGTTTTTTAACTTGTGTGGTGACTCACATAATCAATTTTTAGAAAATGACACAAAGCGTATAGTTACAAAGCAACTTTTGACGGCCACAACTATGACGACGCGCATGGAGGCGTGAAGCCACTTGCGTACAATCTGTCCGTTTATTTTGCTATGGTAACTAAACATATTCAACAAT